ATTCCTTCAAGTCCCGTAATAGTTTTTCAAGAACAGTAATTGTAATTTTTATATTTCTTAAATATCATATGCTAAAATATTTCAAAAATATGTGAATATATTCTCTTTTTCATTTTACAATGTCGTGAAAAAAATGATAACAATATATTTTTATGAATGTTTACTTAAGTTAACAAATCCAGCTAATGCATTCGAATGAGAAAATGCTTGTGCTGGGATGCGGTGTAAGTAAGCTTGTTTCTAAAACAAAAACTGAGAAGTGGTACAATTTATGAGCAAGTAAAAGTTTTATGAAATAATAACCTAACATGCTTAAGTTAGAAAATTATACAAAACATGTGATATTACAAAGAGAAAAAAGTAGTGCAAACTAAATTATAATTATACAAATTTAAAGAAAAAAATTAGCAATCGACGGAAATCTTTATTTAATTAAATGTGTTAATTGAATAAGAAATTAAATTGTTTTCATGTCTGACACTATCTCTTATTATACTGCATGAATTCCATGTTGTTTAGTTTACTAACTTCAGGTTTGTGTGCAATTATGGAATTGCGTAGTCTAGCACCAGGACTCAAAAATAGTGTTTGAAAACATATGTAGTATGAAACAGCAGACTATGTACATAAATATGTAATGAAAACAATAAGAAAATGTAACAAATACGTAATATCGAAATATATATCTATTTTTAAACCTTTACCATCAAACAGGATAAGTTCACAAGAATTGAAATTACAGTAATTAATCTATTTATTAAACCTCTTAATGAAACTTAGTCTACTGAATTTAAATTTATTTTGTAAGTTCATTTTCATCTTTGGGAGCAATGAGAGCCCCTGTACAAATGTGAGCTCTCAATGATGAGCAAAGAATCTTAATAGCAATCTCATCAAAATGATCACAACAAGCCATGTTTTTCAGAATTAGAGCTTTAAGATCCAGAAACAAGACATCACTGACACTTTTAGCATTTAAAGGAAATATTCTCAGTGACTTTTGTTGCAATGTAGATAAGGAGTGCTTCCCAGATGGAGGCTAATCCAAACAGGTGGGATGCATCGTCATGAGGGGAATCTCAGGTGATCTAAAGGCAATTCTGATTACTGTAAAAAAAATTAGCCAATTTTTTAAATACAAACTATTTTTGAAAATTAATTACATATTTTTGAAATAGATCTGAAGAAATTTGCTAGAAAAAATATGGTTTGCATTTATTTGCAAAAAAAGTAAAATATTTAAGATAGTACAAAACATGTAAATATATGTCACAAAAAATGTGAATATTGTATTAAGACTGCAACTTTTCTCCTGCATCACAATTTTGAAAGCAGCACATAGAAAGACAAAAGATATGTAATTATATAAAATGTAAAAATAGAAAATATAAAAAATGTTATGTTATTACCAGAATCTGCATATGAAATGTTTACAACTTAAAGTTCAGTTATGTGTAATTTCATGTAAAATTATGCAACTATTTGGTCTTCTACAGAAGAATAACATTAGGTTTCCAAATGCTCACCTTGTTAAGGAAACCTTGTGTCAAGAGACGTACAACCATTCTTATAAACACAACCACAGGAAAATATATTCTTACCTCAATTTTTAACATTATATATATTTTATGGAATATAATTTGCAACAAACCAATTTAAAATTTAACCAATAAGAAGACAAGACAGTTCTACATATTCACTTCAAGACAGAAATATTTTGAAAACATGATCACGAAGCTATAAGTTTGTCAAGAGTGCTTCTACTATGTGCATATTAAGCCTTTTTATAAGTGCCTTTCTTGAAATTTATTTTTTAAGATTAATGCTTGTTTTTTAGTGTGTTATGTACAGTACCACAAATCCTTTGAAACTTTGCCAATTTAATGTTGATATATTTATTGGTATAAAACACACACTAAAAAACAAGACAAGACAAGACACAAGAATAAAGTTTTATAAGACCATGGTTCTTCCAACTCTTCCATACGGAAGCGAAAGCTGGGTACCAACAAAACAAATTTAAGCAAATCCAGGCCGCTGAAATGAAGTTTTTGAGGAGAACGCTAGGCTGCATGAAAGAAGATCATTTTCGTAATCAGAATATAAGAGAAAAATTAAATGCTGAAGGAATTGGAAGCAAAATAAATAAATAACGAGATAATTGGTATCAACACACGTAAAGAATGGATGACTCAAGACTACCTAAATTGGCTTTACTCTACCAACCGCTTGGAAGGAGAGACATGGGAAGACCCAAAAACGATGGAAGGAAAACTTGTGAAGACGGAACAGACTCGAGCCTAATCCATGAAGTTCAGGAGAAGAAGATTAATGCTTGTATTTCTATCAATTGGCTTAGTGTCTGAGTACCTTTGTATTTTTTCACTGATCATGCCCATATGATAATAATTACTAATCAATAAAATAGGCTGTAAAATGAAGAAAACCACTGATGAAATGAGAAATATTATTACAGGGCTCAAAATTCTTCTCTGTTGCTATCTCACATATCTGAAGTGGTAGAAAGGAAGATCCATCTTTCTAGTTATCATCATCAAGTCTTGGAACAGAAAATCAGTGAAAAATGGGATGGGAGTGGTTGTTCTTCTAACTAAACAATTAGGTGAGGAGACTAGATTTGAGAATGTTGACAAATAACTTCATAAGAAGTGCTGCAAAAATTTGTGTTGCACTAAAAACTGAGTTTAAACTTAAAATCAGGTCATTTAATTCAAATCAGGTCATTCAATTCAAACATTTTTGTGTAGTTATGAATATAGATGTTCAAATGCCAGGCAGATATCATTCATTTAATACAAGAAAAAATGTAGAATAGTTAACCATGATGACTTGTTCTATTAAAATCTGAGGTGTAGTTTTTTTACCTATTGAATGCATGATTTTTTAAGAAAACCAGAAGAAAATGTGGATAAAAAAAAGGAAAAACTTGAGGGAAAAATATATTTTGTTCAGTTATGCCTGGCTATTGTAGTGGCATGGTTTGTGGCTGCTAGAATGCACCCAAGTCAGGATCTTCAGAATTATTATCTTAAACTACAAATCTTAAAAATTATATTATCAATCTAATGTCAAATCTAGCATCAGGTGCTGAAAAATTGAGTCTTATAGACAATTACGTTTTCATGCAAAATAACGATCAAAAAGCTATGAAACATCAATCAAATCTATTATTCATGGAGATGCATTACTTAACTTTAGAAGAATGATAGCTTTAAAAATCTCCATCGCAAAAAAATTGAGGAAGAAGGGCCCAAGATCTCCATCACATTTGTTCATTCAAAAGTAAAAATATCAGACACCAATCATTGAGTTAATATTCAAATCAAAGTAAATATTTTATAATAATATAATCAATAAATTGAGGGCAATAACACAGTGTAGAAATATTTTTTAAGCATATCAATTTCACAATTTTTTTTATTATTCATGCTTTAAAGTCTTAATATAGAACAAAACTTGATATTTTCTGGATATCTATTTATACGTAATAAGTAAAATTCACACTATTTTGTTTTATAAACATGGTTTTGGGTTTTGGTTTGCACACATGAAACCAATGATTTTTTTTGTTTGTAATTATCCAGTGTACAAATAATTTTTCTATGACTTTAGAATGAAATGCTGGTCTCCTTATGTTATATTGGCCAAACTTCAGAGAACCATATTCTTGAAGTGGCTTTCCATCTGTGTAAAACTTCTGTAGGGTAGTGAATTATATTGAAGCCAGTACTAGGAAGTCTATACTTGGTGTCCCACCAATTATGGATAACTTCAGAATGTCTAAAAGTTCAAAATATTCACATGTAATTCAAATTTTAATAGTTTTATAGTTTTCACCCACTTCACCCATTTTGGAGAAAATTGATATTCCACCAATTACGATTTAAGCGCTAGTTCTACAGATGGACAGACGGGTTGCCGTCAATCGATTTTTCGGTGTCAAGAATTCACAACTGATGATTTGAAAAATTCTGACAACACAACGTATTAGAGGAAGCAATTTACTATAAATTGAGCCACTTTTATAAATGTATCCATTCTTTCGTTATCGTATAAGACTTTTCCTTAATAAAACCTTCCGTAAATGTAGCTTCACTATGCGTACATTTTGTTGAACTCTCCTTTTGCTTTAAGTGGTAGGAGTAGAGCTGAGGGTGAGTTACTATTTTGTTAGCAATGCAGAAAAATCAAATCTGCAGTTCGTTTACCGTTGCAAATAAGTTTTCTATGTCTCAGGAAGGAAAATGTCCATTTTTTCCAATGTTGCTAGTCTAACGCTTTTTAAAATTTTATTATTTGTTTTCTTAAAAATACTTTTACTCATCTTTCAACTATTTACAATTGAAATGAAAATGTTAGTTAAAATGTTATAGTTAAAATGATGGGAAGGGATTCTGAAACTCAAGAAAACGTGTGCAGATCTTGTCCCTCATTGCGTCACATACAGTTTTTACTAATTTTGTCTAAATAGATCTAAATCTAAAACTATGCAAACAATACAATCCATAGATTTTAAACAATTGTCAACCTTCCCTTACATTGAGTTCGGTTGTACTACGTGCTGGGGAAAAAAGTGAAAGGAAAAAAATTAAACAGGTTGTTTCAGAAAGTATGTAATAATGTATTACAAATGTAATGTAGAATATTAATTTACATTATATAATAAATATACATAATGCAATATAATATATATATATATACACACTGTTCTACAAAAATACATATAACATTAATACAAATAAATAAAATTCTTCCAGATGTTATACTGCCCCTTTAGAAGCATCAAGAGTTTTTAAAATCGCATTGCAATAGATTACGTTTAACTCATCGACGGTTATGGCTTCTTCACAAGACCCAAGGACAGCCACCGGTTTCCTGGAAAACGCGGCGCGTGCGCGCGTCAAATCGCGCAGCCATTTCCGGCGACATCAAGCGGCGCCCTTCCCCGACGACGCCCTTGCGAATAAAGGGCTGCTCGTCGCTGATGCGCGCCTTCCTCAGCAGATCCACGCAGTTGGTCGAAGGATTCTCTTTCATTCTTTTAATGTCCAAGTGTTCTGCGAGGCGAGTCACCTGTTCTTCAGAGAGAATTTTTCCCAGGAATTTAGCGGTCCGACGGATGACGGCTGGTAAATCCTGGCGGGTATATATTCGGAGCATTAGCATCAGAGAAAGAGAGCACCCTACGTATTTATCGTTACCGTATAACGTTAATGTTATGTTAAAGTATTTATCTCTGGAAGAAAAATGTAATGACGTTCCTATATCAAAGAAAGAATAAAAGAAATAGTGTTTCAAATTAAATACTCATACTTGTTTTCAACTTTTCGCGCGTGGTTACATTTTTACATAATAGTTGTATTCCCTGATGTAATACATTTGTTGACACTCATTTTGTCAAAAGAAATGTAGATATGAAGATTCACCAGTAATGTCATTCAAGCAGTTTGGTGATGTGAGTTTTGTAAGAGATGGCAGAAACTTTAGTAGTACTTAGTACGTTACAATTTAAATATTATAATTTTATTAATTGCTATAAATAATACGACAAAGTGTGTTCTATATGGTAACTGGACCAATAGCGAATTTATGAAAGTTTTATCTCAAGTGTTTTATATTCAGTTCAAGTTTTCTGAAGATGTAAGAAAATGGTGACTACAAAGTAATCTCGATTACTGTAAAATGGATGTGTGAACCTGAAAGTAAGGGCTCTCTTTTACATTATTATAACATTCACATTCAGTCACTAAACACACAATTTTCGATTAATGAAAATTTATAAATTACTGAAGCACCAAAAATTCAGAAAACGATGCTTCGAACAATATATGAGGTATGAAAAAAAATTTTTAAGTACGATTTTTATGTGGAAGATATTAGAATGATTACGTCTTTTACGTGAATCTAATTTTAATTGTCTTCATTTAATACATTTTATTACCTGTTTCATCTCCTCGTACGTGTTGAAAAGTATCTTTGGATCGTCCTTCATCTTCCAAAATTCAAGCACATGTTCCCACAAAGGAGTAAATTGTACTGGAAACAAATGTATTGTATGGAAAATTTTCAAAATATAAGGACAGGAAATATATCTACAGGGGATAAATCTCTCTTTAATCCCATGTTGTAAGCATTTTTTGGTAATTTAATGAGAACTTAGGGTAAGTTTTAAAATTTTAAAATTTTAAATTCCTATGAAACGTTTTGTAATTTTTTTTAAATCCAAAGAAGCGTTAAATCCAATGATAATTTACTTCACTAGTAATATCGAGTGAACATTTTTAAATGTATCTCTAAAAAGCAGATTTTGTAAAGGTATTGAAACATTAACACTTAGAACAAGAAATAAAATTAAATATTTTCTATTAGTTCTCTTTCGAGTGTCAGTAAGACATGATTCCTATAACAGCGTGTGAATTATAGGTGTTATCACTTAAAAAGAAAATTATATTAGTATTATCTTACCCATATCTTCGTAAAAACACTGAAAATAAAATTCTCTATCCCCCTTGTAACCTCTCACCAATTCATACTGATGAAAGGAAGATACAGCGACATCCTTGGGTTCCCGCGCCACAAAAACTATCTAAAGAAAATGAAATTGAAGTATACGAAATTATTTTCAGTTTTAAATTCTATTGATTTATTTTATTTCAGATTTGCAAACATAAAACATAAATATATAAGTATGTGAATAAGTACAGGCAGATCTTTCTATCACAATTAAATAGCACAATTAAAAATATTAAAAGTTCTGATATTTCGTAAACTACTCAACTTATGGTAATAATAATTCTTCCGTGTAATCAACTTTTGTACTTGTATAATGAACTCTGAATCGTTTTAAAACAGTTTAATGTTAAAATTAATTAACATCCAAAAACAGAGTTTTTAGGTTCACAACCGGGTAAGGAGAGTAAATATTCAAAAGGCCTAATGACCAGTTCGCCATGTCATGTATGTGGCATGAAGTAAAATCAACTTCGCTAAATAACCGGCCAAATTTAATTATCAAATGTCTGATCGTTTTAATCAGATTCTATGGCCACTCAGACAGAGGAAGAAACAAGTATCGTACCGAGACAGTTGTGTTGGTCTCTGGCGAAGAGCATGAAAGTCAAATACTTGGTGCCGATGGGTTCTCATCTCAAGTGTCAAACTCGAAAATTGTCTACAGAATAACCCGTATCGGGGGAGAACGAATGAACTAGTTTTCAGAACCCGGGCATTATACAACATGAGGAACAGCATTTCATAAGTAACGTTATTTCGATGAAAAGTCACATTACCTTAGGCTTCTTCGTCCACAGCTGCTCGGGAAGCAGTTGCTTATGTAAGTGACTCTTAATACAGCGTGGCGAGGTATCATTGGCAGCAAACTCTAGCGTATCCATTTCAAGATTTTTTACAATTGCTTCTGGTAGGAATCGAGAAAACCTAAAGGAGAATTATTGCAATAAATATTGCATAACCTGCACTAAATATGAAAAGGTTTCGACAACTTACTCGAGAAAAGGACATCTCTTGAAAAGGGACGTTTCTTTGCTTTTATCATAATTCAAGTCATTAACAAGCAACCACACCATCTCTTGGGTCCATGTGGTCCCTGTAAAATTTAAATTATTAATGTTCGTTGGAATCAACGATGTCCCATTACAGAACAAAACGACAAGTAATGCAGTTTTTTATTCATACATTATATACCATACATTATTATAACACCGTACTCTCAAAATTACTTTTATAGGGAATTCGTGATATTGCGCTATACTGGATGACCTTGTATTTCAAACATCGATCGCAAAGAGTAGAAATGCGGTTCAAAATAACGCAATTTACTCATATTTCAAATTCGTTGTCAGATGAGCGTGGGGTCCAACAGCTTTCGAGCTTAGGTCCCCATCTTCTTTCTATTACATGTAAATTGTATGCGCTCGTTCGTTAAAAAAGGAAGAACAGTTCTGTTTGCTAATGACAAATATTATTTGCAAAAATCAGCGTATAATATGATTTCAGATGTTGTAAATTGGTTTCGTAATAACAAATTTATAGTGAAGAAAGAAAATCTTTCATTATGTTTTGGGTTTCAAACAGACATGCGCCGTTAAAATTGAATAATACGCATTTGGGTGATTGTTCACTGTAATCTCTGCTATTCACTGTGACACTGTAACATCTACGATTCTTACATATTCTTATTTCGTTCCCAAATATACGTACAATCCGAATTCCAATTTGTAGTTTAAAAAAGTTTAACTTTGTTTAAGGTCCTGCTATAAGGACCCTGAATAATATCGAACTTTATTTCGTACTAGTACACTCCCGCTCCTACACCCTTCGCTATGTCTGAAATAATAATACAACGCCAAAACAGTGCGTCCCATGTGAAGGCGATCGCAACGCACTAAGCTGACGGGTCTTGGTCGGCGGCTGACGTCATAAGAGAGCGAAATTGAATTATTTTTACCTGATTACACTTTCCCTACAGATTATTTTTTCTTGTTTTCTTTTTCATTTCACAATCTGATTTGATTCATCCTGTTCCGGTATGTCACCACATTTGTTTGTCCTATGGGGGCTTGCCACCCTGACAACCCGAATTACGTGCCTTAGCCCTATTCTGAGTGTGTAAATTACACGTTTTGACATATATATATATATATATATATATATATATATATATATATATATATATATATATATATATGCCTTTCACGTTAGTAAAAATCAGCTCTTTCTGGCTTATCAGAGCACTTTTCCGCCTTGGATATGACGTAATATTCTGGGGAAGTGCATATTTTTGTTTCCAGACTTGTTGAAAAAAAGTAAGCAAATGCCATTCACGTGACTCGCGCAAGCGTCTCTTCACGGAGCTTGAAATTTTACCATTGCCTTGCCTATTTATTTACGAATCTGAAGTATCAAAACTGACTCACAGTAGGAACATATTTTCATGCAATACTGATATTTATAATTACAAACATCACATTCATTTGGTGTCAGTATCAACAGTTCACTATAACAAATCCTCAGATAATACACTTACTCTACTTTCCAACACATTGCCAAATTATATTTAACAATTAAAATCAATTCACAAATTTATATACAATGTAAAATATTTTCAGCTGCCCTGTTTCTACATAATTACAGACTGTAATAGCATCGTCATATTACATTATTAAAAAAGGATTAATAAATCCTTGCGCGGGTCTTTTCCTTTAATGGGATGTTCAGTTGGCTAATAATAAAAAATGAATAAGTGAGAGAAATACGAAAATAATCACAGACTATTACTAGTCGGCAGGGAAGGGTGAAGGTGGTGTTGAGAAACGGCACTTGAGTTGTGGTACTTAAATGGTGGTAGTAGTAGGATCGTTCGGTAATATAGCAATTTTTTGCTGTGTGAGGTGAGCGTTACCAAACACCGTTCCCTCCTAACTGCTTACTGAGTATCATTTATACAACTACTGTTGCATAAATGATGTAATACATGCATAAGTGCGTGCATGATGCATAAGCGATGCATTACTATTTCAACTCTGCCGGAGCAATGGTACCACCGATTCACTTACCGCTTTGGGGTGGGGTGATTATCCACACATCATCTTCTCTCACTTCGAACTCTTTGATTTGTTGCGCGCTGTCTGTGAATCGCAGAGGCAGCACGCAGCCCGTGGGTCCGAAGAGGCCCTGGGGCTCATTGCCCCGCTGGTGCAGCGACAAGAACTTCTCTGCGCGTTCACCTTTTAACGGCCTCACAGTCACCGCCATGCCGATAGCTACGCGACCACCGTCTACAGTCGCTGCGCAGCTCTTTATAGGCGAGAAATGCCACTTTGACCTAATTTCGCGATTCTACAGGAGTCGCCTCGTCGAGAAGTGCCTTGGCGTGCGTCACACTGCGATTAAAAAATTACATGAAGAATAGAAGAACCGCGCGTGCGAAAAACAAAAAAAAACAACAAAAAAAGTTAAGAAGCCTCCCGTGTTGTTATGCGTGTAAATGCCACTTGATAGCGCAGCAGTGTACAGTTGCGCGTGGAAACACGGGTAATGCATGTGATTCCACAGTGAGAAGTTGCAGTATCGTTTTACATCCATTCTACAGGAATACCAATTTGCACGTATCAAGACTGCACCATATGCCCCGTCGAAAAAAAATAATTGTTTGTGCAAAAGTTTGATCATAATGCAGAACATACAACTTTTCTCCGATAAATAGTGATTACATAATTTTTCCTTGCACTGCAGCGCGCTCGAGCGCAGCTAACAACTTGCTTGGCAGTGGGATTCACGCTAATTGTTGCGTGATATTGTGACGTAGTGGAATAAGAATAAATTCAAATAAAAAATAAGTATGTTAATAAATTACAAACAAGTTACAATAATTGCTAAAATTAAACCCTCCGGCAACCTTTTCTTTCCCAGTAACCCTGCTTTACCGCAGTAAAAGCGACGCGTGAGGCGAGCTGTCGGACTTCCGTCCCGTGACTATCACCGTCACATGGCCTGACGCCAAAATAAAAACCGGTCACCATCCGGCGGATCGCGTGCCTACAGCACCCGATATCGTCTGGCCCTTACACTCCGGATATCTCGTCCACACTCCTACTCTCGCCTTACCTTCTCGTCCTCCGCTCTCCGATCCAAACTGAATGAGAACGCGGGCACAGACGGCGCCGCGTTAAATAGTTGGGGCCTGCCCCCCCAACACACAAATTTCCTAGGTAGGCTCGTCTGCTGTCGGCACGCGAGGGCTCGCTAGCTAGCTTCCTAAGAGCTTACAACCTAAGGGTATTTTTGGCTCCGCCACACTGTCTACGTCAGCTGCCAGAGCGCAAAACCAGGAAGCTCAGGACTCAACCCTTTCCTCCCCTGCAACGTGCTTTCACCACAATATGTCTCACCGACGCACAGCGCCGCTCATATCGCTGAGATTAGAGAGTATTTATCGCTACTAGCAATTGGACAGTCATCTCAACCTGGCTCTTTTTTCGCGACCTTACAGATTCCAGAGACTTGCTAACTACTCGTTTTGCTATGTACTATTTGTTTTGAGATACTACGATATTTTAAAAAAAATATTGTTTATTGTCCTTGATCGGCAATTGCTGCCTCCCATAGATATTTAATAAAATATATTGAAAAATAACACTGACTGCAACGAAGAAATTCTAATTAACATTTTGTTTGGTTGAATAGTTGAATTTTTAATATGTGAAGATTTTTGATCTCCTTCAAATACTAGTCTCTTATTAATTTTTTTGTATATGTTTCATAAGTATTGTTGATTATTTTTTGAATAATAATAATAATAATAATAATAATAATTAAATTACTTATTTACCAACAGTAGGTTGTTCATACTTGAAGTTCTTTGAATACTCAATTATTATTGTCAATGTAATTGCTGGGTGCAGGATTGCATCTAAATCACAGTTTTCATCCGTTTTCAGAGGTCCTTAGATTGAATGCTCTAATGGATGCTCTTAGACGATGGATCTTTGTTTGCTTGAGACCGTTATTGATGATTTCATTCTTTCTAAATGTCACATCCAGTATACAGCTTTAGCATCACATATTGCTTCACTGTAGCTTTTCTGACGCAAAAAATGTAAATCATGTTATTAATATCATTTGTAAAGTTCTGAACAAAGTAATATTGCACCTTCGTATTATTATCATAGCAATTTGAGATACTCATGAGAATAAATATGACAGAATTCTTAAGTAACTTTCCAATGTCGTATGATAAACACCTGAACACACAATAACACGTAATTGACGTAAGTACATTGATATTGGGAAAAAATTGGAAATATTCATAAAGTACTTTCTTACATATTTCGTTTTGAAATATATAAGGAAGTACTTTATGAATATTTCTTAACTCCCTTCGTGACCCTTTTTCGCTCCATTTTCTTATCACAAGTTTGCAATTAGTCGTTACTTTAAGTGACGCCCAAAAATAAGAGTTTGTCATGCATTTCAAATGCTGTTGAAAAATTACGTCTGCATTAAGATATCATTGTTTAGATAGTTTTATTTAGAATCAGAAAAAAATGTCACACATTTTAAACGTTTTAATGATTATCATGAAATGAGACTTCACATGCAATGTTGATGTAATATATAGTACCTTTAGAACCAATTGAAACGGACAATGTTAAAACTAGTTGTGCTACAACAGTACATACTTTCTCGCGTTAATTCTAAATCTGCATTTTTTGAAAATTCAGAGAGTTCAACGAAAATGGGACCCACGCCATTCTTTTAAAGATCCTTTCTACTATTCGTGAATAATGATATTGAAGAAAACAATTGGAGCAGTTTTGAGAAAGAAAATAATTTCAAATTACCTACATTTCGTTTCAAATTACACGAACACTACTCATATTTTCGAGAAATTTGAAACGATCTTACGAGAATTTCAAGATATGTCACCTAGAAACAGATTTTTTAAGAAAAATATCTCTCTTCAATACTGTTTTTGTAGCAAGAAGCGTAGAGAAATTACACTTCAATTTTCGAAAAATCAGAAATGTCAACGAACATGAGACTTGCACCATTTTCTCTTTTAACACAAATATTTATTTCTTAATCTAATATATATATATATATATATATATATATATATATATATATATATATATATAATATACACACACATTTATACATTTTCAGTTGCCGTCTGGCTTAGTGTTAATTCTTACTTCTAAATGACTATTATATATACTACTGCTACTATTTACAATATGTACATTCTTGGTTATTGTTTATAATGTATGCTATTGGTGTTTTTTATACTAAATAAATCTATTCGAGATGTAGGCAGGGGCTCCAGCTTGTCGTCTGGTGTTGTTGCAGATCTTTTCTGTTGTTCCGCAGCTAGCTTCCTGTGGCATGGGGTGGAGGAGGGCGCTTCTGCGGACTCTGTCCCCCGCTATCTGTTTGTACTCACGCGGGGCCAAGTGTATATTGTCGGTGTGCGTGTAGTATCATGCCGCACTGTCTTTTACGCTATCCGAGGATAAAGTTTAATCGAAAATTTTCGTGCCATTTTTGAGAAAAATTTTGAATATGTTTTTGAGGTTTCATGTAAATTATCCTCAAAAATCAAAGTACCTCTTCTAGACTTCCAAAACTTAGAGTTCGTTCACATCGATCGAGGAATATCATGTTTCACAGACGGACTGATGGATTGTCAGACGTTTTGCCGTCAATCAATTTTTCGGCATCAAGGACCCACAAAACAGCGGCTAGTTTGTCTGATTCTGTGTGCTCCACGTGTTAGAAGAAGTAATTTATAGCAACAGGGTTTATCCACTTATTCATTACAAGGGCCCGGCAATAAGAGTTTTTCTGTGGAAAATTCGCCGTTTTCTGACGCACGATTACAAAAATTTCTCTTCTTACGAAATTGAACAGATAGTAAAAATTTATTACAATATGTATACTTATTGCATGTGTATATGTATTTATGTACGTACTTGGCACGACAGTCCAGGCCTACCGGCGACATCTGTGCCTCGCGGCCATAACTTATAAGAGTACGTGCGGTTAGCACGTAACGGCAAGTCCCCACGCCGTATTCCGGACGTCTCAACCTGAGAAGTGAATTTTCTCATCGTTACACAGCTACATATAACTGCGAGGAATATTGCAAGAAAAACGCACACTATAGTCTTGACTCGACCGGGAATTGAACCCGGGGTCGCGTAGTGAACAGTGAGCAAGCTGACCAAGAGATAGCCACGAGCCTTGTATTTATTGCATACAAAAGTATATTAGTGCCTTTCTTAGAAGCTTTTACAAGTGCTCTTTAATCCCTTATCTCCCAGCGTGAATCTTACACTAATTTCATTATTTTTCTTTCTTTTTTTAGCAACGTGCGGAAACGGTCTCGATAGACAACATTACAACGGACCAAGTAAGTAACTTCTGAAATATCTAAATGATAGCTGTTGATTTAGTCGAGATCGCTAAAGCAGAGCACGTTTCTGCAAACGGCTCGAATCTTCTTCGAAAAGTGTGCTTATCTGCTATACACCTGTGCTTAGGGTGGAAGGAGAGGTAAATAAAAGGCCGCAGACACTTGGGCGATGCTGTGACGCGCGACACCTAATACTGATGATGTCAGTTGTCTCGACGCATGTCGATGCTTGTGCACACAAGCGTTACCGCGCGTCTCGGGCGCTACTAGTGTTTTTATTGATTTTTGTTGGTTCTACGTAGGCCAATTTAAGTTTCAACTTTACATATGATTGACAGGATTACGTTCCTATTTTTAAAACTTACTTCTAAAGCTTAAATCTAAGATACGGTAGAAGATGCCCTATTGGGTTGGATGCTCTATTCAGGTTCGAAATTGGAGAAGGTTTTTAGGAATATATATTGTAAGGATATCTGTTTTTTGTTCTGGCGTGGTTAGGATTGTTTGCGAGCCTGAAGGTTGCAAGAGAAGAGATCTGGGGTAAAATTAAGTAAAAGTTAGTGGCTAGGTATGGTATGTGATGTTCAATGGGTTCGAAGTTGAATTCTTTATGAAGCTGATGATTGGTGACAAACCATGGTGCATTGGATATTGTTCTGAGAAATTGGTTCTTCTCGTTGAATGATTTGTAATTTTTTTGAAATTGGTTTTTGCAGCATTTATCCAGATGGGGTAGGCATACGTCAGCAACGATCTTAGAATGGTTTTAAATATTTCAATAGAAGAGTAATATGGAAATGGGTTGTTTCTGTAGATAAGAGGTTTTACTTGCAGAAGTTTTTGCAATATTGCTAAAATTGTCTCTTTTCGTTCAGTTTCGTTAAACTCGACGGCCACATATTATTGTATTTTGGTAGACTTGTGACTTTGATAATTGATTGATTATGCTGTTTTAAATCTGCAAAGATATTTGGTTCCGTAATTGACTGATGTAGGGTTCTAAAAACAATTAAATATTTTATTTTATTAGATAGATATTTATACGAGCGCAAACTTCTCTGTGTTTGTTTTAAATGTTTTATTATGCTACGAAACTCTGTAGATATGTTAGAACTGATTTGAACAATGTTATTTTTGATGTCTGCCATGAAATTTTGTATTACATTTATTTTTAGTTCTTTGATGAAATTATGAACTTGAATTATGTGGGCTACAAATATTGGTGGGATCCTGCTTGATACACTAGTTTTATCTTATTGGTCATCTTTTAGATACTCGAACCTTGTGTCCTCGGGCATGGGGTCTAAACTTGCAAGCACACTTAAGTCGTTCTGTACTGGCACGTTATATTGTAAGTCACTATCATGGGCAGGTAGATAACTGTAAATGCTGGATTCCGCATTGTTTTGTAATGAAAGACATCGAGTTCACCGACTGACCTTTTCCTGTTCACCGCACCTGCCGTTGGGGTTTGATTGTCTCTGAGTACAGTTCCTGTTAACTGATTATCCTCAGAGATACCTTCAATGCTGGGAAGAATTAGGGAAGAAGCCATGCCGAATATCACTTACATGGCTTCCCTTGGCGGTAGAACTTGCGACGTCGAAATTTCGTCTCCGTTGATGAAAACGTTGATGTAACAATTGTGGAGAGGTTATTAATAGCATGGCCTATTGAGGACTCTATGTCGTATAAGAGACTGGTCACGCGTTTGCGTGAAACGTTCACTGTGATAACAAAACTTTGTTACTACGCACTGCGGGAACATAATCATTAGACACAAGTTCACTGGTAGTCGAACCAATTGAGACTGAGCGCTTCCAAGGTAAGCGCAGCGGAAGTAGCACGTCCGCACACCACCGCTGCTGAACGAGGAACGCTACTCGCTACTAAACATGGATGCCGTCGAAACCAAGTTACAAGTTATGTGGAGCAGAGACAATTAAAGAAACGGAAACAAATTCAGAAGATATTGGGTGCACCCAATTAATAGTGAAAGGTCAGAGTGATTATTACACTCTCTTCAATAAGCTGTGTGAGAGCAGGGAGAGTATTTTCAAATGTCAGAAAAATCATTTTATGAGTTACTCTTCAAACTAAAATTTAATTATAATTTATGCATATATGACCATTTCTAAAAAAAGATAAATAAATCATAGTAGAAAATAAGAAGAAATAAAATGTTACTTTCCACGCGCGTTGATACTGCCATGAATGCGAACGTACCACTACTCAAGCTACGGCGTACGTTAAGATGACGCAATTTTCTACCTTTGAACGCGCCGTGCTCACTAGGCGTCAACAACACACTAGTTGGCAACAACGCACGTCGCCAAGAGTGCTCGTATGCTATTCCGCATAAGTTAGAGTGATTCTACCACTCCCGTTACTTAACGTGCGTCAACGTAACGCTCGTGTGACACAGGTCTAAAAGAAAACGGTGGTACACAATTTTATTTCTCCTATTTTTGTATTATCATTATTATTTTATTTTTCCTATTAAACCTTTCAAATGACCATTTATTTTTATTTCTCGAAATTTTAAAGTGGTTCACCAAATGTCATTGTAAAGTCAACTATCTGCAGCCAAATACAGAAGATATTAAATTATTACAATATTTATTTGATTTACTTTAAACCGAGCAAAGTGTATTAGGACGTAGCGCGCTAACTTTGCAATCGGAAGTCGCGGGTTCGGTCCCCGCGCCGGCCATCCTTAGCGGGAGTTTTTGTGAGTTTCCTCGGTCATCTATAGGCGGATTGCTGGGATGGTTCTACTGAAAAGACAATGACCGCGAAATCGGTCTTGCCAAGACGATTTTCTTAACTACGTTAAGTCACGAAGTTCGGTCCTCCGGGTTGGTGGTTGACGTCAGCCTGACAGCCGGTTATAAAGATCACAGTTAAATCATAATGGATCGTAGTAAAGCCGACCTGCCTTCGATAAAAGCCGAGTCTGCCTTTGCTGTAACGCCAATTTGGTTCGTTCCACGATAAGACCTTAAATACCAAAATTAATATATATATATATATATATATATATATATATATATATATATATATATAATAAGTTAAATAGCTTTTTATTCTCCATGTTCAACCACCGACTTCGTTGTTGAACTTGTGTGCGCTCGTCAAATCTCGGCTTCTCGGGCGACACCTCACACACCTAATTTCTTTAATGTGACATTTCCCTTGCATTTTTCTCAAAGTTTCCATTTCGTTGTCAGAAGGGTACTTCTTCATCTATTTGAAACCGAGGTGCTCCGTAATCCGTACCATCCCTACGTAGCAGAGATATCTACCCAAAACTTTCACCGTGTGCTTGAGCAATCCTGCCACTTGCTAGTCATACATAAAAAAGATATATAATTTACGAAAATTATTGGTATTTAATGTTTGCATTGATACAAATACATTTCTTGCATTTTACAAAACTCTTGTGAGAAATAAAATTTATTACAATAATTTGTTGGTTAATGATATCGGCACAGAAAAATTATAGATACTACTTAGGATGCACAGCAACAGGTAGAAACCACGAAGTAAATCAACGTTCTAAAATGCGCCGTGGACTCCAACTATCAAAGAACACTAAAACCAGTTATGATTAAACTTTTCTCACAATATTTTTGCATACGTTGGTCACTAGAGGGCGATGTCTTTGCATACTGTCTCGTAAACAATGGAAATATTTTTCACGAAATGTTAAATTAATTTTCGTCAGCATGAAATCTTTCCTCCGAATTCCGAAAAATGCCTTTAGATAGAATACAAAATTGATAATCGAACCAAGTTGAATCTGTATTTCGGGCAGTAGATCGAAAATGTTGATGATAAATGTTTCAAGAAGCTGTCGTGTTTCTCCCGCAAACATTATATATATATATAGGACAATCGGTCGGTCAGTGAGACAGTAAGTCAGTCAGTCACTCCAGTTTTGCCTCATCTTTTCCCGACTGCCATTTGCGGGCGCCTATTTGGCCTATCACGATTTTCCGCAGTAACTAGAGTTTCTCACGGAAGAATTATCAGTGAAAAGCTCCCTAGTGCTTTTGAAACATCACGCCGCAGTACCCTTTAGACTCATCTCATTTAGATGTCTATGTTCGTGGAAGCTGTCTCATCTAGATGCCTGTACCATTGTTCCGGATTTCAATAGCCAGTTCATTAAATGAAATTGCAATAACGAATGGAGGTAAAGATTGCGAACGTATGAGTTAAAAAATACGACAATTTTTTTAATAATAATTTATTGCGTTATACCACATTTAAGTTGTGATTTGTAATTTAACTTTTGGGTGAGTAAAGCATTATTTTTACTATTCAGTAGCAACGTATCACTGGATTGTCTTTATACACAACCTACACAGATAACATCATACTACTTTATGTAATTTATGGTCAGACTGATCGTATTATGTGCAATATTGTATGTTTGTACTTTGTTAATAATATACGAAATATTTATCAAGAAATGAGAAAGGGTAGAGGATGATTTCGAAAGATTTTTCACCTCTTACACAATTCTCAGAGCCTTGACACACTCAGAGAAGAGAATCATATATGTTAGAACTCTGTATCAACCTGTTTACCAAGAGAACAATGAAAAGAGCTAAAGGATTTGTTTTGTTTGCCTCGGTTATCTTGATAGCCCTTTTCGACATATTTTCGTCTTTTACTCATAAATTGCTACAATTCATTCTCATTTTTACAATTCATTCAGTACGTCCTGCTCCATAATTGTTGCGCGTATGGGCGCCAAGCAGGTGCCGAGTGTATATTTAGTTCCAATAGCTAATAGCAGATGGCATTCTGAGGCAGAATCTCCTTCTTCTTCTTCTTCTTCTTCTTCTTCTTCTTCATCTTCTTCTTCTTCTTCTTTTTCTTCTTCTTCTTCGTCTTATCTTCAAATATTTAGGCATAATGCCTGTTACGCCGCTTAATTTTGGTCCCTCCAGCGCATTCTTGGACGTCCTACATTCCTTTTTCCTCTCGGCTGAAAATTTGCCACTTGTTTAGGAATTCTGTCGTTGTTCATTCGCAACATGTGATCTTGCCATGAGAGTCTGTAGTTGGTGACTTTCTCTATAAGACTTTCTACATTTAGCACAATCTCCTCCCTACAAATTATATAGCTTCATTAAAAAATGTTTATTTTTTACTCATACATTATAGCTTGTTATTGTCTTCGATACGAAGCTGTAAATACACTGCATAACTCACCTGAACCAAAATGATTGGAGTTTACGAGGGAAATATGAAAACTGTTGACTGATGCTATATGTTCTCTTATGAAGGGAATTATGGGAGGGAATTAGGGAGGCAAATATGGAAGCACAAAGCTAGTCAAGTTAACATCTAGTTGATTAGTTAATAAGTAAATATGAATGAATAAAACTAGGTAAAAAATAAAATTATGTATGTACCACGGAAGTTAATTGGTTTTAATGATCTCGGGCGATAAAAAACCTTTAGGCCAAAAGCCAAAGAAAATAGTGTAAACCCTATTCAAAATTTTGAAAGAAAAATACTTTTTATTGGTCATTTCTAGCATAAAGGAAGCCCAAATATTGTATTAAATATTGTTCCCTGTTTCTATTACTACCTATTTATCAAATGAATATGAAAGGAGAGAGAAAAATTATTCATTAGTGTTATTTAGGATAAATTATTATTATTTGCGTAAACAGCCAAAATTTTGCGTTTTCACTCCGAGTAGGTGCGGGCTATGCAAGTATTCAAAATGACCTCTTGCGTTATCACAAGATAGGCATCTGTGCTACACGTGAGCACATCTCTGTCGGTTTGGTATTTTATTTTTGCCGCCACGCTTTCAATGCGCCAAAGAAGGCCGTCACGATCCACGACTTCGACAGCATAAACGCGGTCTTTCATTCACCCCGAGGACAGAAGACCAGCAGATTCAAATCCGGGGACCAAGGTGGCCATGCTATTGGGCCTCGTCGACCGATCCATTGTCTGGAAATTGCTTATCGAGGTTTTCCAGAACTCCGCGATAATTATGTAGGTCTGAGCCATCATGCTGGTACTAAATCTGAGCCTGCACGTTGAACGAGACGTCCTCTATAAGCGTAAAAAATACCTTATTTATAAAATTCAGATACTGAACTCCTTTCAAACACTCGGGTAAGAAGTGAGGACCGATGATAAATTAATGCCAGTTAATGCCAGTACTTTACTGGCATGATAAATTAATGCCAGCAAAAAATGCGAGTTCACACAATTACAGAGAATCACTCTTGGTGAGATGTGATACGTGCAACAGGAGATTTTTTCCATGAGATATTTATAAATAAATAAGATTACGAAACTTTTCTGAAGAAAATCTATGGTATTGCAGAAATTCTTTGTTTGTTGAACTTGTGGCTTATAAACGTCATGCGAATCACAAACCAATCAGTTGCATGGGCATTCAATATGAAACGCGGGGAAATGGCAAATTTTGGACTTGAGGAATTTGAACACGTATTGAAATTTTAAAAAAATGATCCGCTACAGTGTATAAAATGCGTTTATTAAGCTCAATGATTGTCATTCCACAAACACTACGTTCATAATTAATTCACACACACACACAAGATCGTTGTGTAGAGAATAATTAAATAATGAAGTCATTGTATTATTGCATTTAATAAATAAGTCTTCAGCAGTTTATATAATCGGGAGTGTTTGTAGATACAGAAAAAATCCGTATTAAGCTATAAAATATAAATCTTCTTTTACTAACACCTACATGCTTACAAGTGTGGATCATATCATTTACCGTAAATGTTTTATTATACTTGTGTATTCATCCTAGAATTAGATTCGACATTCATATCTTCCAGGGGCAGCCTCCAACAGCTTCGTTGAACACCCGCCGGGTGCGCTCGTCAAAACGGGCCGCCATCTCGGGCGACATCTCGCGACGGCCTTCCCCAACTACGCCCTTGCGGATGAACACCTGATCATCCTTAATGCGACCTTTCTCTCGCATTTTGCTCAAAGCCGGTTCCACGTTCACAGATGGGTTTTTCTTCATCTGTTTGAAGTCTAGATGTTCAGTAAGGCGTGTTAACTGTTCGTCGTTAATTTTTTTACCCAAGAACTTTGCAGTTCGTCGGATGACGGAGGGCAAATCCTGTGAATTGAATTGTATAAACATATGGCTGAAAACATAATTTATTATAATTCTGTGAGGATAAAAGCTCGTGGACAGTACTACCTGTTTCATTTCTTCGTAAGTACTAAATAAAATATTTGGTTGGTCTTTCATTTTCCAGAATTCCAACATATGTTCCCAAAATGGCGAATATCCCACTGAAATACAAAACACATTTTATGATTCTCTAATAAATTAAAATGTTGTACAATTTCCGCTCAGCATTGGAAGCTGTAGGAACGGTAGTTACGGTAACATGACGATCAATATTATCAGATTGATTGATTAGTAATCGCGGCGCATCGATTGATAAGGTCATTAGTTTCGTAAGTGAAGTGTATGTGTTTTCCTCGAGAGGTGGCGATGATCTTAGCTCCCTTCATGGTGAGAACCGGCTCCGACTAATTCAACTTAAGCCACTCCGATTAATTCAACTAAAGCCACTCTTAAATCGCAACAGTAAGCTCTCATTAAACAATGCCATCACCATCTATAAATCAATAATTAGACCCCTAATGCTTTATGCATGCCTTATCTGGATCAATGCCTCAAAAACTAATATTAATAAATTACAGATCATCCAAAATAATTTCCTCAGACTTGCCACTCATGCACCCTGGTTCATCTCAAACATTCAACTGCATAAAGAATTTAATTTACCCCCTATACTTTACCATATCGCTCTCCTATCTAACAATTTCTTCTCCAAAATAAACACAATAACTCAAGCCACCCACTACGGTCTAGCCACCACCTACCAGCTCCCAACAAGAATAAAAAATAGATATCCATTAGATTCATTCCTCAGCATATTTTCAGAAGTCAATTAATCACATAGGTGCTCTGTGAGTTTCCTATTCAAGTGTAGTTAGATTTAGTTGTAAGATTAGCATTTAAGTTAAATATGTCATAAAAAATACATATGATGTAGTATAAATAATACTAAACTATGTATATTCGTTTACTAATAAAAATATATTATATATAAAAAAAACGGCTCCGACCAACCGTTGGCTAACGGGGTTTCCTGCAACCAGGTATCTCCCACCAGTGGGGCACCGCCCCAGCCGGGACAAGCTCTACGTTTCCGACTGGTTTCTTGGCAAGAATGGTAGCGTAGTACATGTAAGTGTAATTGTGTGTCAGAAGCGAGGATAGTACAATGAAGAGGAAAACATATTGCGGGCGGTACTCGTTTGTTAGCTTGACCATTCGTCTGGTATGAGTATGGTATCAGAGAAACCAGGGAAAACCACCAATCAGAGCAGCCGGCCGTTACAATGCTCCTCCGAACATCGTCTGAATCTGATCTAGCTACCTAGACAGCAATATTATGTCTCTATGATCGTATATTTAATTCCGGTCGATTCTTAACGCGATGTCTTAACCACCAACACGTTTGTGCTCCCTGCCGGGATCGACACCTTAGGGTTCCTCTAATCACTGGTTCCGTGGTTTCTCTTCCAGGCGAATGTAACACCAACACCCTACACAAGACCACGGACTAGGCACAATCTTCATTTCCTCATACTCTCCTTAATGCTGTCCTTAGGACCGAACTTTGAGTTGGGTTCCCTCCGCATCTGATCATGCCCCAATGATGTAGGGAGATGCTGAGAAGCTAAGAAAATGGTAAGAGGCTATTAAAAAATGCTGAGAAGCTAAGAAAAGAGAAGTAAAAAAACATTGGTGAAGGATGTCACTGCAGTTGCATGCTGAACGTTCAGTCCATCGCTTGATGCTTGTGTGGTGCCTGAGATAACTTTTATGAGAAGCCCCGATGAGTATATTAGTTTGGAAAACATACAACACCGCAGATGTGGGTGTTTTAATTAAAAATGTATTAAAATTGAATATTTTTACTTTTCCTGACGTCTTTGTTTTGGATTACTATTACAATATATTTATTTTATTTGAGGAAATACTTTTTAATCAATTTTTATTTGAGTTTCAGTCAGTTAAGTCAGAAACGTTTAAGCATCTCTACTATGTATACCGTGGTGAGTCACAGGTTCTCTCAATTCATTATCAATCTACTAATTGTCCAGGTCACCAACATTTAGTACGATTTGAAAATGTTAAGGTAATTGCGGTAATTATAAGTTATGAGTGCATAGAGTCATTTCAGAATGTGTTGTCTATCAATTTAGAATTTACTAGCATCGGTTTCCACCATGGGTTTCTGGATGGGAAACCGTCTGAGAACTCCAGGGATCTAATGGTACCGAGGCCCTGGCCAAAGGTATAAAAGGCAATAACTAACTACGACTAACAGACTTCACGAAGGATTGAATTAGTTACCAGTAAATGGTCGCCGCCAGTTAATGTTTAAGAAAGAGACGTAATAAAATTAAAGAACCTAAGAGGCTACTTATCATTTGAATATTCACTTACCTACATCTTCGTAAAAGCACTCAAAAAAGAAATCTTTGTCTCCTGTGTATGAGCTAAGAAGTTGTTCGTGGTAAAAGAAAGACACTGCGACATCTTTTGGCTCACGGGCGACATATATGATCTGAAATTACAAAGCGTTTGATATTTTCTTTCAATGGCACAAATCAAAAAGTAAAGTATGTGTCACAAGTTCCAAGTTTCTAAGGGTATTGATACAACTAAAAACTATTTCCACTATGTATTTAAACTTAAAGTTTCAACCAATTGATCTAAAACGTTGGAATTATAACAATTGAACATTCCACTTCATTGCCTTAGAGAGCATTAAGCTGGCTCACTTTGTCCTCAGGCGATTCTCACTGATCTGCTGCAGTGATAGCGGTTAGACATTAGCTTCTTCCTTGGCGGGGGAAGTCGGGGAGGGTGATCTATTTTTAAAGAGTGGAAAATTCTAACAGGTAAAGTTCATTTTTTAGTAGTATGAAACTAAATTCCCGACGAACGTAAGTCAACCATCGTTTCATGGTTAAGCATGACAGACCGTAGTAGTGTCATTCCCTGACGATGATCATGAAAACAAAAAGTAATTGGTAGAATTGGAGTGCCTATTTCTAAAGTCACCAACTAACGTTCCATGTGAGAAGCGGGTCTTTGGGTATATCGTCAAAGCACTGGCATTAGACAACATCTATTCCAGCAACGAAAATAACGATCGTGAAATACTTTCATGGTTACAGCGATAAAACTAGAGTTTGAATTTCTACGTGTCTGCTCAGTAACCGAATTATCCAAGAAACTATTGTGGTGCTACAATAGCACATCTTTTTTCACAGTATTTGCACCTTTCATAATTTTCGATAGCTTAGAGAGTTGATATAAATTATTTTCAATATAATTTATATTCAATATAATTTATGTATGGAGTAATACGCGTAATACAGAGAAAGTTATGTGATGCAGCGAATATTTAATTTCAAAAGTTTAACGTAAATACTCTTTTTAGGGTCTCTTATAACGAAAAAGGGTTTTTAAACGTCTTTCCGCCTTCCTGTCCTATCGTCTGTACGTATTTTCTTGCATCTGTACATCTGTGAACAACACTAGCACCTAAACAGCATAAAGTAGCATTACAGCAAAACAACACAATGAGCAGTAAGTTAGTAAAATCTTCGAGATGATGATTTAACATAAAATAACATAGACGATATATTTTACATTTTTAAAGGTCAATTTTGCCTTCCCGTTTCTACTGTTTTTTGAGTCTATAAATCCGCAGCTTTGTTCAATAGACTTGTACAAATGACATAAAGGTATTCGAAAGCTAACAAAGGAGCGACGGCGAACTTTTTAATGAGTCGGAATTATTTGTACTAAGTTTCAAAAATGTTAATATTTATATATCAGCTTATACTCTTAACAATTCATCCATATCATCACCAATTTTTTTCTGCCTAGTACTTGAACTTATGAAATGTTTTAAAAACGGGTAGTTCGGTTCATTTTTAATAACAATAATAATAATAATAATAATAATAATAATAATAATAATAATAATAATAATATATTTTATTCATTTTATGATAAGTTAACATAATGCAGCAGATGCACACAAATGAGAATGCTTGTTTTCGGGTGCAGTTTAAGTAAGCTTATAGCGAAAACAAAAACTGAGATTTGGTACAAAAACAACACAATTTACAAACAAGTAACAGTTTTACAAAATAGCATCCTAATTAAAATTCAAACCTTTGGGATTTGGAAAAGTGAATCAGTGTTTATTTGAAATTTAGAATTCATTAATTAAATCTTGAAATGTATTTGTCATGTTAATATTATTGACCCGAGAGGTTCGAAAACATTTATATATGTGAATGTTATATATGTTCAGATGTTACATACGTTCCAATGAAAACTGAACTCTGACTAAAATTATGATATTGCTAAACACGAACAAGGCATTTAAAGAAAAACAGAAAAACAAGGCATTTAAAGAAGAACAGTTTATAAGAAAATTTGGAAAATGTAGTGTGGACTTTCTATACCCCTTAAAATTAAGAGACTTCTTTCAAATTCGTGGGACTTCGTAGAATTTGTAGGATTCAAATTCGTACGATTTGAGCCATATATATCGGAGAGTACCCATTTTAGAAAATGATGTACAATTCAATTTCTAGAGTTCACAAACTATCAAAAAGACGAATTGACAAAAAGATAAAAAGAAAACTAGTGGATTAGAGAACCTGCAGATGTATATTTTTGTAATGTTCTTTAGATGCAGTTTTTTAGAATAACAAAACATTTCATTTACCTTATTTTACGAGAAAATATTGTTAAATTCGGTCATTTCTTTTACCCATTAGATTTTCATTTTCTCTTGTTTGTTTCCAAACATTTTTATTCGATTTTACCTTAGGTTTCTTCGTCCACAGTTGATCTGGCAGAAGATCTTTTGGCAAGTGACTTTTAATGCATCGTGGAGATGGGAGCTTAGATGCATAATCTACGGTGTCCATTCCTCCCAGAAACTGTTGTTTTTTAACCTCAGTCAGGAAGCGAGCGAACCTACATAGATTTGTAAAACATGAATTTGATGCACCTATTACGGTGTGCGTAGGATATTACGATCTACTTACTCTAGATAAGGGGACCGATGCATCAAAGTTTTTTCTTTTGCTCCTTCATAATCAAAATCATTCACGAGAAGCCACACCATTTCTTGAGTCCATGTAGTACCTGAAAACGTAATCATTGATAAATTACGCAATAACAAGATAATGTTGGTCCTATTTCTTCAATTCAGTAGATAATGCTACAGAATTTACGTTAAAAATTAAATATATTTTCTGAATTTAGTTATTTTATGTACGCTTAATAGCAAACTAACTTTTATCGCAAAGGTTGTTCCTTATGCAATGAAATGTTCAGATTCCTGTCAGGTTGCAATGATGCTCATTCCACACTCTTCTTAAAATTGTCATGTGACTTTTTTTTAGAACTCTAATGAATTCCCTAAGAGAGGTTTGTATAATAGCAAGGGTGAATTTTAGAAGAATGTTATTCATGTGATTTTAATGCTTCTATTAAAAAATATGGAACATACATTTAAAAACGAATCGTATGATCCACGCATTTGCTGTAATGGTACTTTCCGTGAAAAAGCCTCGACGTATTATTACTTATGAAAAAGCCGCGACGTAGCAGTTCTTAAAGTATTGTTAACCTTTGATCACATGCCTGTAACAGACATTATTTGTAAAATAATCCAGTAAATCTACTATATTAAAATAAATGTTTATTTGTCCGTATTTTATGCACTGTCCACTGTTCATCCGATGACAATAGAGCTTTGTCACCTTATTGCTTGCACTTTTGCGTAGAATATAGGTATAGTACATTGGGAATTTGCATATGTACGTCTACATAGACGCAAAATGGAGCGTTGAAAAAGATATTAGAAACTGGACTTCCTTTTCTATGAAATATATGTGCACTAAGAACGCACAAGGGATGAAGAAATGTTAGATGTCAATTCTGCCATCAGTTGCGCAATGCTACGTTTAAATCTTACTTCTAGATATTATCAAAAGTAAGTACAATTACTAAAGAAAATATTATTTTCCATACATATTTTCATGAATATTCATAAGGATATTCTTCCCTATCTCTCTTATTTTGTTTGCGTAGTTCGCGTATAAACCTATACGGGCGTACAAGCCGCTGACATCAATTTAAACTAAAATTTTCAGTTTTGTGTGAAACTACAGTGGAACACTAAAGCGAGTGTTAGCTGCAATAATTTCAAAATAATTAATTTAATTGAATTTAATTTTAAGTACGGTGATTGAAGTTAATACACTGTATTCTATTTACCACTAACAGTATCAACTTTTTAAAAACAACGTAGAAAAAAATGTACAATGTGTTGTATTTAAGAGGTTAGAGGTTACAAACACACACACATATGTATATGTATGTGTATATATATATATATATATATATATATATATATATATATATGTTCAAAAAATTGATTTTTTATAAAGCAATTTAAGAAAGTGCATGTACATTTATGTCCATGTAAGTGAATCCAATTCATTATGTAGGTATAGCCTATAATTTACTGGTGATAATCCTGGTTCATCTTGGATCTACAGTGTTGTTTTACCGATATCAATTAACCAAAATCGACGAAATTTACAAATTAAGTTTGTAAGAGTCAATAGCATTTCTGAAAATTCATGTTCTAAACATGTTAATATTTATGAATTTTCCATTCAAAATATATTTTTTTCTTAATCTAAAGACAGATAAAAAGTCACAAATCAGTTGGACTATAAAATAATTTTTAATGCAAAAATATGAAATTTTTAAAATTATCAGTGTCCAATGCAATAATTATATCCGCCTTCTTTGTCCATTTGGCCTGAATCGAAGCTCAGTTTAGTTTTTGAGGGTATTATACACAAAGCCCTTGGGACATTTTCAAAATTTTCTCAAAAGCGGCTCCAAATTTTTTCTTTAAAGTTTTTGTAAGAGTAGAGTAAAATACACTTCTAATGTGGATAGGTCCGATTTGCACGGTTAACTCCAAACTGTCGAAAATTTCAAAAGTTTTAATTTTTTTTCGGAGTTTTCCTACAACTACAAAATTAAGGACAGATATTTTTCCATCAAATTAAATTTGTTATCCATAATTTGTTCTTTCATTGTCATGTATACCTTTTTACAATTTTAGTTTTTTTCGCACAATATTGCGTGCAATTTGTACATTTTAAAGAAATTACAAAAACACGTTTTTCTCAAAAACGCCTCCAATTTTTTTCTTCATACTTATGGCAGAGATAGTATTAAATTCACTCTATAAGACGACATAAATGCGATATTGCTTTATTCTTTTGTTGTTTTTTTTTCAAAAATTACAGAAATGTATTTTTGAGTTGCCTCTGTTGTTGTTGTTAATATTTATATTAGCGGCTATTTGTTCACATTGCTACTTGTTTAAATTCGTAAGGTTAATAAGCTATCAGTAGCTATCATTTCCTAGTGCACGACGCTACGGCCTTCGACCTCTGTGTTTTCCTTAAACGACGTTGAGTCTTAGCAAGAGAAATCTTCAGTCACATTTTCATACTAAGATACTAGTACTTATACGACAGAGTTAACTCGCTATCCCTAGCGCATTTCCTTCTTGGCGGTGACACTCTCTTAGACTTCCGCAATTTAGATAAAACAATCGTGAGTGTAAGTAATGCACAATTTCCAACGCATATTTATGACAAACATTACATAACATACTCGTTAAGAATGGGAAAGAAATCAGCGAACAAGTAAACAGCAGCCTAGAACACACTAATCTAGAATCCTTAAACCCCATCATGACTACATTGCTTGATTATTGATTCCAAATGCTAACTTCATGAGTACGTAAATGTTGTACGTGTACTTGTGAACGTAATAAGAATGGAGATAGGATCGAACAAGGAAGGGAAAGGTAATTTGTGCACGGTGCTTGGCCCATTTGTAAGGGTACTGCCCCGGCATTCGCCTGGAGGTTTCGGAGAAAGCACGGAAAACTACTGATCAGATCAGATCAGACCTTTAGAATTCTACAGATGGCGACTGAACTCGACCTAGCTATCTGCTAATATCGAAAATCCTGCTACCATCGGGACTCGAACTGTACATGTCAGAGATAATGTAGTCTTATCTACTCTAAGTCGCCTAAACTTGGATCTTCACTGCAGAGTCTGCCTCCCACAAAAGTATTTTGTAGTACCAACTAACGTGACGTCAAAAGTGGCAAATAGTGGGAACAGACCAATGACGGGCTGCAATTTGCTTAAAGTAAAGTACATGAATTCGTTACTCAGTAATCCTGCGAACTTCTAATTCCATCCTATATTGATTACCATCCTATTATTATTGTTAAAATTAAGGTGCCTTATACAGAGAATTGAAGTGATGTGAAGTTTAGTGCAGTGTAGTGAAGTGAAGTGTCAGATAATCTATAAGTCAAAGGAAAAAACTGAAAAACGTATATAATGACAACCCTATCTATCTACCTATCTATGTATCTACCTATCTATGTATCTACCTATCTATCTACCTATCTATCTATCTATCTATCTTTTTTTACGAGGCGGGCTGTGGAAATCTTCAAAAGACGAAGAGGAGCCCGCACTCCTCAACAGTCTGAGAATTGCACCCACTAAAACCATTAACCCTTTATGTTCCTGGCGTTATCCACCCTGGAACCGCAATTATGCATTACTTCAGGTTGGTGCCAGCGGCATTACTTTGAGGTGCTATTCAGGTTCAGCTGTGATTGGTTTCTTTCGTCTTCTTCCTTCCTCTTGAGAATGGCGGTGACATATTTCTCTATTTCTGTCCACTTCTCCTTGTTACAGATTATTAATGTAACCATGTTTTTGGTGAGATATTACACGCGACCTTAGCATGTCCCATCTCGGGCAATGTAACAGCGTATGTTCGGCGTCCACTTCATGGCTGCAGTAGAAGCATACCGCGTCTTCTGTCTTTCTGAATGTTTTAAGGTATGCCTTAAAACATCCATGCCCTGTGAATGCCTGAGTTAAATGGTATTTCACGGACCCGTGTTTGCAGCTTATGCATTTGGATATATTCGGGATGAGCCTGTGAGAACATCTGCCGGTCCCAGCGTTTCTGCCAGTGGTGCATCACGTTTTCTTTAGCTTTTTTGATTGTGCTATCCGTATCTTGATGCCTCCCGTTGCCTTCTTGCTCATTGGAGTAGTCGTAAACTTCTTTCCTTTCTGAGAGCCAGCAGGTCAGTAGGAGGGACGTTCGCCAGCAGAAGAACAGCACTTCCGGATACAGTTCTATACGCCGATGTTATGCGTAGAGCTCATTTCCTCTAGACAGACTGCATTTTCCTTCTCAAATTCTTGTTTTGAAGAGATTCTGCCCAGATCTGTGCTGCATAGAGCATTTTCGAGTGCATCACACTCATAAGAAGTCGTCTGGTCTTGTCGCTGGGGCCCTTGGTGTTCGGCATCAATCTTGAAAGTGATGCTGCTATTCCTAGGCTATTCCTAGCGAAGGCTCTTGCGACATTGTATTTTTTCCTTGCTTATTATGAATGTTGGCTTGGAGTAGGATCGTCTGTGCGTGATTAGCAATGCTTCCGTTTTATGGGCTGCCACTTCCAGCCCTTTGGACGTCAGCCATCTCATCACTCTTCTCAGGGCGTCGTTTACGAATACCTTTAGTAGGACCGATGTCTCCGCCGTTGCCACTATTATTGCAGCGTCTGTGAAGCCCACTATTGAGAAATTGTGCGGGAGTTTTAGCTCAGTAGACTGTCGTACACAATATTCCATAAGACAGGACCAAGTTTTGAACCTTGTGGGAACCACAGGTCATCTCGATTTCAATGGGTTCTCCTTCACCTTCGTACATTGTCTTTCAGTCGCTTATGTAGCTCCTTATCATACTGGTGATGTACTCTTGGGTGTTCATCTCTACCAGAGCCGTGATAATCTCATCCCATTTGGCCGGGTTAAAGGCGTTCTTGATATCGAGCGTTACAAAGCCACAGAATTCTTTCTTTGCTCCCTCTTTGGCTTCTCTTGACTTTTCTACGACTGTTTTGATAGCGTCGACTATCGATCTACATTTTCGAAAGCCATATTGCATTTTCGACAGACCGTGTGTTTCCTCTCGCCATGTCTGTAGTCTTTGCAGTATCAGGCCCTCGAATACCTTTCCCATCGTGTCTAGTAGGCAGCTTGGTCTGTAAGATGTGGGCTCGTGTTGTGGTTTGCTGCCTTTTAAAAAGAGAGCAAGTTTCTGCTTTTTCCATACACTCGGAAATACGTTTTCCCTCAAGCATCTATTATATGTTTTCAGATGAAGTTGGGGTGGATCTTTGCCACAGTCTTCAGAATTTCGTTGTGTATCCCGTCGAGTCCTGGGGACTTTTTGTTCTTAAGGGTACTGCATACATTCCGTAGTTCTTCTGGGGAAAACATTTGGTCTTCTGTAATTTTACAGGTCTGGCGTTGTTCTGTCGAAGTTTTCTGATGCGATGGAAACAATGTCTTTAAATTTGGATTACCCATGTAGGGTTATCGAATCCGGGAGTTTTTCGCCTGTAATTTCGTGTGGTTGTGACAATTTGGTACGGTTTGCTCCACGGATAGGTGTCTATTTCCTTTAATTGCTCCGTCCAGCAGTGGTTTTTACTATTGTTGATAGCGTATTTTAGGTCCTTTCTGCATTGTCGAAGAGCCTTTCTTAATGTCTGCGATCCTTTGGAGCGCGTGTATTGACGTCTCGTGTGTATTGACGTCACGCTCTTCAATGGCGGCATAAGAGGGTGGATGGCAAGGAAAATATTCAGTGCTGTCTGAGAGATCAAGCAATCATTCCGGATCATGCCCTTATTTCCACACGTTAAGCATCACTTTATCTATCTATATATGTGTTATCTGTCTGTCTATCTACCTATCTATTTACCTAACTATGTATTATGTATCTGTCTATTTATCTGCCTATTTCTACCTATCTACCTATCGTCTATCCATCTACCTATATACCCATCTGTCTATGTATCTATCTACAGAGGTTCGAGGTACCTTCGTCCCCGCGTGGGCGGCTGCTTACCGCATTTCGGGGGCGTGACCACCCACACGTCGTCCTCCCGCACGGCGAAGTCTTTGACGGCCTGCGCGCTGCTCTCGTACGCGCACGTGAGCACGCAGCCGCCGGCGCCGAAGCGCACGGCCTCCGCGCGGTCCTCGTGGTTGGCGTGCAGGCCGAAGTACTTGGCCGCCTTCTCGCCGGCCACGCGCGTCGCCGCCACGGGCATGCTGTCGGCGGTTTGCAGGCCGGGTGCGCACGGCGGAATTCGGGCGATACCTCGGCGAATGGCGATGGCGGACGTGCGAGGCGGTGTTCTTGATTCCGCGTGAATGAAGGTCTCACCCGCCCCCCGCGCCCCGCCCCCCGGTACGTTGTGTACTCAAGCCTAACGTGGCGTGATTTCCAGCTTCTTCCCAAGGGCAGAAGTGCCACAGGACTTAGTAATCGTGACTCAGCTGCAGTTTATTTTGAGTTTGATTGCGGAGGCGGGCGAACGTTAATGGTGTGTTTGTACGTTCTATTAATCCTCCGTACTCATAGTTATTGCTGTAAGTATTCCACTTTCCTTTTGTCTCTTCATTTTAAAGTTCATTTTAAAGTTGGTGAACTTAAAATTTCTCGCAGTTTGATGCCCAGGTGAGTTTTTATAACGTACGAGAATCCGTTTATTGCGAAAACTGGGCAAGGAAGATCCTTGTACTGAGGGCTACTATTTTTTTATTAGCAGGTGTTCGGTGTTCGTAGTACAACGAATACTAATGAGTGGCTCGAGGAACACTTACAAAACATATTTCAATTATATAAATTACTTTTGATGGGACATAGACCTTTCGCTACTCGTGACGAATTTTACGAGTTTCCGAGCTTCAATCTACGCAATTAAAATGAAACATTCTTGATTCTCTCCAATGCATCTTCAAAAAATAACTCGGGGACTACGACTCTCGGGTGTTACCTAAAATACCGTGTTTAACGGTAACAGGCTAGAAATAAAATTTTTATTTCCAACACCACTCTCACCATGTCTTTTCGTCTTCCATAATTTATACTAACTACATCTAATTATCGTCATTGTTGTGCTCCTCCTCAATCGCCATCGGTTGGCAAAACGACTAATGAAAACTTAATATTTTAAAGTTGGCAACAGATTTCAACAAATGAAGTAGACATACATTATTCCCATAAGTTAACTGTAGCGAAATTTATTAAGAAAATTTATTTCAATAAATATAAAATTAACCAAACCTAACGCCAAACTATTTTTTGAAAATGCTACTTTATACCGCGGAGAAATTCAAACGAAAGTAAACGCATTCGAAGACCCAAAGCCACGATGACTGCATTTTCAGCAATGTCATTGTCGCAGAGGATATATCGTAGTTCCAAAGATGGCTTCATTGTTGCTGCTAACTCGCCTGCAGAAAATGTTCCAACTTAGTACGTTTGATCTAGAATGAAGTTAAGAAAACATGTAATAATTAACTATAAATATTAAAAATATATTTGTTTTATATGGCAATTAAATATTACTGGCTTTTAGTTTGACCTTTCACATTGTACACATTCGAAAAATACGTAATTTAGTGAGAAATATTATAAGAGTTTTCAGCGCTAAGTGCCTCTTCTATCGAATAAAAATAATTAACTTTAAGTGTTATGCATAATAAATTTCCAGGAGTGTTTTCATAGATTTATCATTTTCCCTTTTACGCAAATAATAGATACGTGTTTAAAATTTATCTGCTTCTCAAAGAACCCTTATTTTTTTGAGAAATTTTCAATAGTTCAACATGTTGTGTCTCTTACAGTTTTCGGACAGTAAATAACTGAAAACCAAGGAAAGATTGTTGCCTGTATTAATCATTTCACTGAGGACAGTTTTCGTACAGCGAACTAGTATTATGACTCAAATGGAAATGTATTTATTTTTAGGATACAACTTTTATCAGATGCTCTCCCCAGATGTTTCCATAAATGCTTTCATAGTCTCAATAGTAAGCAACCTCTTCTGTACAGAATTTAAAATTTCATTTACAAAGCAGTGTATCCTAATAATTGAGACAGGCAGATCGTAATACTCGTAGATAACTTATTTTGTAATACAATAATGGTAGCTTTGGAGACTAATTTAGATAATGCATTCATCAGCCAGTTTTTAGATACTGTCGTAAAATCAATGCATGTTTTTGTAAACGAGTTGATAACAGAAAGACATTTATCATGCAGTTTTGCGCAATGATTACCGCGTGTAGGTTTTACTTTTCCTCCGTAAATTTTATATTATAATTTAAGAAGGAACGGTTTTGGATTCACCTCAACAATAATATCGGTCGTAAATGTCCATGTTTAAGGCTTCTTTGAGTTGCAACTTCGTACACACGTCAAAATCAAAGCGTATTAATACTGTTTCAAATATGTTTACGATAGCTGCATGTTGAAAGGAGATACATGAAAATTTATACCTGAAAATCCATTTCTATTTATAAATGGATTAATGTGTCACAACGGGATGAACTGCAGGATTTCTTTTCTATATTTCCCTACCGCATACATGCACAGATCAAACATTTCCATAACATTTGTAGAAATACGTTGAACACGGCGGCGATGGTGTGACGGTTAGACCGTATCGGACTGTTGTACCCAAGTTGGCGGGTTTGTGCGTCTAAGAATAATAACTTTAATTGTGATTAAACATGTTACTTGAAAATGAGTACTTCTACTCTATTTAGTTCATGCACCGGGGCGCTATTGGCGCGGGGTGAGTCGAAGAGGGCCGAGTGGGTCAATGGGGAGGGGCGAGCGGACGGTTGAGGCGGAAGGAGTGGGCGAGCGGGAGGAGAGCAGTGAGCTGGCAACGGACGAAGGGGAATTGGACCGAGAGGAGGAGAGGTGCAGGGGAGCTTGGGACGCGCGTGGAGCGAAAGGAGTGGGCGCGGCGGGGAAAGGCGGAGCGGAACAACGCTCCGAGCGGGAGGAGCAGAGAAAGCGCAAGGGGCTGGAGGGCAGGTCAGGAGGGGCTTGCGGAGAGTGGGCAAACAGACCAGGCCGCTTAAGGAATGATTGCGATAAATACCGGGGATCGTCGTGTAATCAGCTAGTGTTATCCATATAATATAATACTACTACATATACAACAATAATAGTAATAATAATAATAATCAGTATAATGTTAGACAAAAGGTGTTTGGATTATCAATACACCGGCATACGAGTTATTGCAATAACGAGGCACAACTTGAAGTGAGATAGTGTGCTGTAAAGTAGTTGCCTTGTCCTTGGAGAGCAATCCATGTGTCATCTGGAAGAATTATGCATAAAGGATATTTTATAAGCATGTAAAAACGTTTTGAGCAATTGCGAGTCTATAAATAAAGTCGAGCTTTGCGGGGTTTAGCCGAGCGAGACGGTGCCGAGGCGGCTGCTTCTGTCGCCCTCTCTTGAGCGGTGTTTGAACTCTCTCCTGGCGGCTCCTTCAAAGGTGCGCAGGCGACTATGCAATTACAATGTTCACAAACAAAAAATGAACCCAATCAAGCAATTCATAGGGTCACTCAAAAAAAACTTCTAATATTAGTTTAATGCCAAATCAAATTTCCGCTTGGAATGTTGAATTTTTCTTATTGGGCGGATTTATATTAATCTAACGGCGGATGTTTCTACGAAGCTTCTGGCAACTCTGACCTCCTAAGCGTAGCCGCCGAACAGACAGAGCCAGCTTGGAGCTTGCGGAAAACTACTAAAGTGGTCTTCATGGTCTTTGATGGAAAAGATGTGTTGGAGTGGAAATGATTGAGGCTCTGATATACAAGATGCGGCAGTTAAACCCGGACAAATTAAACTTTGTTTTAAAATGTTATTTATTGACACAAAGTACAAACGTAAAATAAAATGATTTAGTCAATATTCGTGTAACTTGTTAGGAGTACAATTACTCAATATAACCACCGTTTGCCTCAGTTACCGCCTTCATCCCGCCTTGTCGTGAAGCGCCCGCCCTCTCTCTGTGCGCAGCGCTGTCCGTATTGGCGAATGCTGCTTCGATAGAGGCGCATTGAGACGCGACATGAGGGTGCCACGACTTGTTTGTAACCCGTTCAACAACGCTCCAAACATAGTAGTGGAGGGGGCTTAAATCCGGGCTATTCGGGTGCCAAAACCCTTTGGACCAGAACATGTCTGCATTGCCTGATAGCCATTTTTGAAAAACAGGGCTCGTGTGAGACGGTGCACCCTCCGATTGAAATCGTCCTGCTGCCACAACATCATAAACAGTCGACCTCGGGTACTGGAAGAATCGAATGATCTCGGTCGCCGAACGCCCAGCGCGAAAGCTTTTTATAATCGCGGCTCTTCGATTGTACTCCGCACTTGAACTAAGCAACTCGGTCATTTTAAGGTTATGACTGTGTACTAGATGCGTCTGGCTTTCAAGGACGCCAATCCCGACCTCTAGCGGAGCTACGATATGGCGGGAAATTCAAATGGAAATTTGTACGGAAACTGCCGCACCTGTAGTGTAAGCATGTCACACTGCGCTCTACTTGCCGGCCTGGTAAACGAGAAACTTCTTCTGATTTATCTCAACCCATCCTCATCACTACTCATCAAAATGGTGTATACTCGCAAGCTGTAGCGTTGTTTGTAAGCACTCGAAATGGTTGCTTCTTACGAAGATCTGTTGCTATTTTAAATCAAACAAGCGAAATTTGAATTGTTTATATTATTTATTACGTATTACGTCATTATATTCTTTTAAAATGTTGCCTTGTAAAAACGTTTTATTGAGGGGTAGTAATACTGATTGGATTGGTTTAATTGGAAAATTCTGTGCCTGTTTGTTTCGTGTGAAGTTTTATTAAGTTACTCTGTTATTTGTTGTATCAATAATGTAAAATAAATCAACAAGTCCAACAAGTCTCTTTGTAGCTAATCTCCTGTAGTAAAATATCATCTTAGATTTAATACATCGCCCTCCAGGGCGGACAGCTCTTTTAACAACCTTTGCCCCTAACTTGAACGTTGGAAGTTAATACAACTATTGCACTCTCAAGTAAAAACATGATCACGGAATGAAGATCCTTTCAAGTCAAGATAATTAATTTTATTCTCAATTGATTAATTGAAATATATCTGATGAATTTTGTTTATAAGGATAATTAATTTGCTTTAGTAGCGGAAATGGGAATTAATGTTTCTAAATTTGAGGCAATGACTGCCAACTAACGTATTCAAATGACTGTCATGGGTCAGGAAACCAGTTATGTACCGTCACCCTGGAGAAATGTGTACAACCCTTAATTTTAAATATCACGCCATTTGTTCTGGACGTACACTGCCAACGAATACTAGTAATATAGTTACATTGCTCACAACCTTGATAGACCTGCAGTTATAGTTAAATATTCAGTGGCGTTTGAGGACAAGAGTTTACTATCAATGCCCCCTTACTAGCTATTCTCAATTGAACACTTACAAATAAAAGTGTAGCCCTTTCTTTGGATTCGGATTGAAAAATATTCAGAACTTGTGTATACTGTTGAAAAACTTACCTTCTGAAGCGCATTGTAAATTATTAAAAATTCATTTAAGATTGGCAAGACCTATTTTACAAAACTCTCAAAACGAAGCTGCAACGAGCACCAACCTGACTCTAAAAGAATCTGGTAGTGCTGTCTTTCCTCGCTTGGATGTCTGATTACTATGGAGAGGATTGTTAGCTGGGTGATGCACCTAGAGTCAAAGCTCATTGAGAGCTTTCCTTTTTTACTTCTAACATGTTATGTAACCCAATAGAAGGCTATTAGGAAACTTGCCTTGCACCGAATGTTCACTTAAATCATCCCACTGCACCTTAAAAGCCATATGCTCCAATTTTTCCTCTATTTCTAAATATTTGCAAAAAATATCTTATTTTGAATGTGTACATTACATTAACACGTACTGTTTAAAGTTAATTCAAACAATATTTGTGCAAAATAAATTATTGTCTATGCGGGAGACGTCACTGCACAGGAAGCCTGCGACATGTCAAGCGAAACGTCGGCCTCTCAGCGAACGACGCGGCGTCTCCCGGATAGCCAAGAATTTACGGATTCTTGCCGCGGAAGCTTACGTGTGCAATATTTGTGCAAGTCATGTACATTGTTTTGCTACCCTTTGCTCGAAAGTAACGTACCTCAATTTTTAATATCAAGAGAACAAAAGCAAAGGAGACCCATTGTCGTTCATTTCCACCAGTTGTGAATAATGTGTGTTTTTGAAAAGTTAGCAATACTCGTGCCTGAAGATTATATATACCTAAAAAAAGGTTAACTTTTAGGGTATTTAAAAAATATAACTTCCTTTAAAATTACGGATATTTAGTTCATCAAAACTCGTTCATTACCAGTTATCGCGACAGAGCTACCTGTTTTTACAGATATCGTGCCATTGCCAAAGGTGATTCATAACAAACACCATTACGTTCTAATATATTTAGTATTATGCTCTTTTAAGTCTAACATTTGCGCACATCTGATGAAAAATCTGATGTTTTCTCAACCAGTAGCATTTACCCCATCGGTAACTCGAGGACATCTTTCAAACAAATCCTACAGCCCACAGTGCATAGAGTTGTTGAATTGGATTGCATAGAGTATCAGAAATAGTACGTAAAGAATAAAATGTCGCTAATTAATTAATATTATTGACGAAGACAGTGCTTACTAAATGAACTTCAAATACTCCTACACAAAAAAATCACTATCGATCTCTGTTTTCTACCTCTCCCCATCGTGACTTGCTGGGGAACGTGGATAAACCATTGTGTGTTTTATGCTGAAAACTTCAAAAAATAGTAATGAATTTTGTTAGTAACATTGACGAAGATCGATCTGTTGCATAGGAAAAAGCTGAAAAAAACGTTTGTACAATACCGCTTTGGAAAGAGAATTCTTGTATGTTCAGTCCTTCAAATTTCTTTGTGTATCTATCAACCAACTACAGAGGGACAACTGTGTGCCGTTGAATTGTGGATAGAAGTAAAGAAGAGTGTTGAAGGATTTGCGCTTCAGAAATTGGAACAATGTTTGGCAAAAATTCCAGATATTTTAAAGGTAACAAGCACTGATAATTTGCCATTAGAAGAAAGGGTAGCCCCAAAGATGTTTGGATTGCTCCCACTAGTGACAGAGGACGTAGAAAGATCTTTTTCTGTCTAGTCAACCTTTAATAATACGTTAATAATTATAAGTTTTGCTTAACGTTTTTAAGTTGATATGGCAGCAGGTTATCCTACAGTAGTTCACTACACAAACACATATAAACACATATCCAAATGTAGGTAAATATTCATTTTAATTACATTGTTTTGAAAAACATGTTTAACACGGTGTACCCAAAGAATAGTAACGGTATTGGTCCAGGATGTGCAAACCTCCCTCATTTCTTGAGTTTTGAAGAATATGAACGACATGAAACAATACTTTAGGGGATTTCTATTTACCTTACAGTATGTAAGAAGTACTTTTCGGTTGTAACTTTTCTACAGTTCTTCCTTTGATGCTATAAAATCGATAGAGTTAGTCTACAAATAAAAACAATCAGACCAGATTTCGGCCTGTATCTGTTCAAAATATTCTTGTTCTGATTTGAAATATATTTACCCCACGAATGTTACAACTTTCTCGCAAACGTCGATCGCTGAGAGAGTTCGGTAGCACAGATCATCGCCACAGCCATTGTTGGCGAAAATCGAAGAAGTTATTTGTGAACCATAAATTGGCTGCTTTGGTCAAATAACTTCTTGAAATGGAAGACGACAACTGAGAGGAGGAAAGCGCTCAAATCTTCCAGGGGCAGCCTCCAACAGCTTCGTTGAACACCCGCCGGGTGCGCTCGTCGAAACGCGCCGCCATCTCGGGCGACATCTCGCGGCGGCCTTCCCCAACTACGCCCTTGCGGATGAACGCTTGCTCCTCAGTTATTTTGCCTTCCTCTCGCATCTTCGACAACTTCTCCTCTATGTTCACAGAAGGATTGACCTTCATTTGTTTAAAATCTAAGTGTTCCGCCAAGCGAAGTACTTGTTCCTCGGTGAGATTTTTGCCCAAAAACTTGGCTGATCGTCGTATAACGGAGGGAAGGTCCTGGAAAAGTTAATATTTTTTATGATAACAAAAAGTAGAGAAGATTACTACGAATACGACAAACAAATTCTTCTTCCCTCACCTTTTTCATTTCTTCGTATGTGTGGAAGAGGATGTGCGGTTCGTCCTTCAGTTGCCAGAAATCCAGCATGTGTTCCCAGAATGGAGCGTATCCCACTGTAACATTCAAGTAGACATTTAATAAATTTAATAAAATGAAACTTGAAATGTTTTGGTCTCACTGGCGTATGAGGTGAGGCATAAGTTTACTTCAAGTGACAACTGAAGTGTGGGAAGATGGCGAGTTTGGAAACTAGTGATACTACAACTCTAGAATCATCTCACATTAGAGTGAAATACACGCCTAATAAAAAAAGACATTATTTTAATATATACATCGGTGAAGTTTCTTATCATTGACAAGAGGAATATTATAACAGGACCAGAGCCCGGCAGAGAGGCAAAAAATCGCCGTTTTTCGGCGCACGATTACATACCGTTCTACTTTTACGAAGTATTCGTAAGGCGAGAAAGTCAAAAAGTACAGGAATAAGAGGACTTCCTACATTGAAAATTAGCTTTGATACTGTACTGACATATTATACTGCATTGATTTAGTTTGGTAGGTAAACGTGAGTGCCATGCTCAAATGTTAAAAATGAATGGGGAAAACCTTACAGAAATGTGAATTACTTGACAAATAATAATTTATTAATTTAGATGAAATTGTATTCAAAGAGAAGTGCACAGGGGGTTTAGTAATTAAATATGTAGTTATTATACAGACTTACCTATATCTTCATAGAAACATTCAAAAAAGAATTCCTTATCTCCACGGTAGTCGGAAAGGAGTTGATTATGATAAAAGAATGAAACAGCGGTGTCCTTTGGTTCGCGAGCTACATAGATGATCTAAAAAAGAAAACAAAGCATTAATGTTGTTTCGACCATAGTATTTGTTCATTTCGTTCATTAGTTATTGAAATGAAAATATAAACCACTTTTTAAAAATATATATTGATTGTTTGATAATGAATGTACAATAATGGAAGGCAAATCGAAAGTGACCAAATTTGTACAAATCGAAAGTGATAATCCATGGCCATATTAATGATAATATCAATGGTATTGAAAGTGTCGAACCCCAATACAATTTGCAACTTAACCTTTCAAGGAAGACTGTCACCACGTTCTCTTTTGTGATAAAAATATAATTAAATGTATTAAATAAGTTGTTCAATAAGTCAATTTGAATTGGAAAAGAAATAAGACAGAATTAGGGTGTAAATTATAACAACACTGTATTTCGGGCGTGTTTGCGACCCCTCCCATTTTAGACCATCAGCACCTTAGCGCGGCAGCCGCCGTCTCAAGAAGTGAGGTGCACTAGCTGATTACAAATGACAATAATGACCTCCCGAGCCTACAACAACGGTTCGGAAAATTCGCCCTGAGTAACAGTGATATATACTACATTGCGACTAAATTGGAAAATTAAAAAAAAACTCTTTCTATGTGAATATATTATTTTAGAGCAGAAACATTAAAAATTGTGTATTCCTAAAATCATGAGCAACCCGCGTGTGTTTCCTCTTCCAACTGAAAGGGCACATCCTCCACTAATACTAATTAAGATGCTCTTTAAAATAATTCAAATAAATACACAAGCTGGAAAGATACTTAATTGGCTTTCATTAAGTGCACTAGATACAATACCTTGGGTTTCTTCGTCCATATCTGATCTGGAAGAAGATCTTTCGGCAAGTGACTTTTTATGCAACGTGGCGGCGTAAGACTAGCTGCATGCTGTACTGTGTCCAAACCTTTTAGGTACTCTTTTCTTGTTTTTTCCGTAATGAAACGGCTGAATCTAATGAAACAAAACAATTACTTCTTAAAATATACAAGAAAACATGAAGTGTAGCAAAAATATTCCGAGAATGAAAATTGGACAAAACTGCCCCTAAGAGAAAACCCAAAAATGCACCGATCACGTTCATCCTGAACAACCAAGGCATTTTGCCAAAGTGGCAGCCTAGAGGATCAGACTTTTCAGGATAATTTAGTATGGCAATAGTCAGATGCATTTAATTACCCTTCGCGTGACAGAATGGAATCTGAGTACTTTTATAAATTGTTATTTAGTAAACAAATAATTAAAAAATCTGCTTGGATATATTCATCATTACGTGAACATTATATATTTAAAATATACGTTTAAAAAATCTGAACTGAATGATTTAAACTACTACTTTTATTAGGTAACTTAAATTTTACCTTGTATATTTTATGTCAACTTATTTAAAATATTATTATCGTAAGATACAAGTGGAGGTGGGGGTAGTCATTTGTTTCTTGCAGAGGATTGTAAAGGATAAAATCACACATATGTGTAACACTAGTGTAAATACTTACTCCATATAAGGAAATCTCATCATTAAGTTATTTTCCTTTGCCGTTTTATAATCCAAATCATGTACAAGGAGCCACACCATTTCTTGAGCCCATGTTGTCCCTGAAACGAAATATATTTCGAAATATTGGAGATATATAACAGACAATTTTCCTTCACAGCCCGAGTATTACATTGTTATTAGAAATCGTGAACTGTTAACTATACTAGTGGTAAATCACAGCAATTATCTCCATCATTTCATCAGCAGGGGCGGATCCAGAGACGAATTTTGTGACGGGAATTTCAAAATGTTTTGGTCGAATGTATCATTTTACAGATTTTATACAATGTCACAAGCTGCACTCAGTTCATGTTGCAATATAATTTGTTTTAATGATTATCCTAAAATATTTTTGCTTGAAAGTTTCGTATCGAGTTAAAATGAATAGTGACTGAAAAAATTTAGAGGGGGATATATCCCTTATTTCACTCCTAGTGGATCCGCGCCTGCAGCACTGACTCATTAACTATTTATTGCAAATTATAATGAACTAGTGTTACTTCACTGTTTCTTGTACTTCATAGTTCTGAATTGCATTTAATGGACTCCCATATTCCACCTAAAAGTTAGTTCCAAAATCGAGAGCAGGAAACACATGAAGTACACTTTAGATACCCCAATACTTTTTTCATACAGTATACAGAACAAATAGTAGACCAATGGGCTTCAAGTAAAATCTACATAATAGTTCTCGATTAATCATTAAAAGGAAATTCTGAGAAAGAAATTAATATAAATATATTCTGAACGGTCAAACCCAGTAGCTTTTTAATCCATGACGTTCATAAAGCTAAATAAAAGTAGTTTTAAACCAATACAAGAAATAGACTAAGTAATTTACTATTTAAATGCATTAATAAAAATATTGACATTTTATCGCGCGAGTGGATAACGGAAACATTTTTAAGAACTTCAAATTTCCCTTATATATCGAGCGTAATCTTTAGTGTGAAAATGTTTTTTGTTTATTGTTACCTGGTTAATATTCGACCAGTTTGAAGTAATAATAAAAATAATAATAATAATAATAATAATAATAATAATAATAATAATAATAATAATAATAATAACGTGACAAGTGGATGTAGCAGCCACGCACAGGTGGAATACAAAAAGAGGCATGATGAAGTGGCGAAGCAGGTACTCCAATTATTGGCGTTGAGAACGGGCTTACTCGCCACTTCCGTGCCGTATTATAAATATGTGCCTCAGAATGTGCTTGAAAGTAGTGAGCACACACTCTACTGGGATCGTTCCATTATTACTGACAGACATGTCGGCGGCAATAGACCCGATATAACGTACATTGATATAAACCAACAGCAGGTTTTCCTTATCGACAATACCCACAACATATCGGGAAAATATCAAGAGAAGATCCAGAAGTATACCAATCTCGCCTATGAAGTCGCAACTCAGTGGAACTTCAGTAAAGTGCCGACTGTGCCTATAATAATATCAGCTACGGGAGTGATCCCGAAAATGACACTTCGGGCACTGGAGTGTCTTCACTTGGATACCAGGAATGTATATAATATGCAAAAGACAGTAATTTTGAATACATGCCGTATTGTCAGAAGCCATCTGAACCTTCAGTAAAGCAACCACACACCTGGTCATCATACCTGTGTGTGGTTGACATACCGACCAGTAGATACTGTGAATAAAGTAAGATGATAATAATAATAATAATAATAATAATAAGAGAAAGTCCCGTTTTTCCTTGTCGAGTTCGGCCATCCCTTTGAAGAGACGCTCATACTATGTCCTGTATTTTGCTTGATTCCGTTTTTCTCTATTGGGTGCCATTATTTACAAATATACAAATTACGTTCATCTACGAACAATCGTACTAAATTTGTGGCGGAATTCTGGAAAAGATCGTTTCAAATACTTCACAACAAATATATACTATTGCTTACATTTTTTCTCAAACAAAATCAAATATTTCAAAGGTGAGTGCTCGTACTTTAATTTGTTGTAAGTAAAAACTGAAATGTTTTATTCCTCTTCATTTCGTTTGTAATAAGTATGATAAGTAAACGAGAATTTCCTTCAACTTGGCGCGTGTTTCTTTTGTCATTTCGCAATAATTGCAAAGGCATAATAGGTATCTCAAATTTGAGTGAAAAGAACAACCCTATTCTAAAGAAAGAAAAAAGATTTCCAAAAATTGAATTATCGTAATGGTATAATGGCATTTCCATCTTTATCTTCTTGCTTTCACGTGTTTCTTGTTCATAAGAAATTGCTTGCAATAAGTATTATACCAGGTATCTATCATACATTCCAACTTTCCATCATTTCGATATTATGGTCAATGGTATTTTCTCTTCGGCAGAAATGTTTGATGATCCTCATAGCAAATCTCCAACTCGTACTCTGTTTCGAGCGCAGTCGAAAAGCATGGTTTGCTTTGAAGACTTGAGCCGTGTCTATTGATAATTTTTCGAATAGTATTATATATCACATGGGCTATCCTTCTGGAACCAATCTAACCATACATCACCCATCGTACATACAATATTAAAGATTTTACTCCGATTTATTCTGGATCAAGAATTAAGGGTGAAATAGAATTCAAATGCCAATATTTTAGCCCGACGAATGACTATATTATTCGGATTTGTGAAACAATAATTGATTAAGAAACACTGAGAGAGAGGATCAGTTAAAATTTTACGGTGTTCAATATATAATATGGCCTTACCGAAGTGGCTCTATCAGGTTCAATCTCGAGATGTCAGTTGTCTTTTATCGTAGCTTACACTATTTAATAGTACTTAACAGTAAAATATGTGTTGGCAGAATGAAAATTGTGTTTATGGAACCAAAACACACACTGAGAAAGTGAAATTTTAGTGAACATTACAATTGTAAAATTAAATAAAAGAATAAATGACATAATGAATAACAAACGGGCAAATACATGGTTTCATATAAAAAAGCAACAATGATATAATTTTGTTGTTAATTTTAAAATATAAATAACAATTATAGGGATAATGCTTTATCTGAAACAGCAATAAAAAAAGAACCATACACATTAAATTTGAACATCTTGAATATTGTCTCTCTCCTTTCAGCATTAAAATATTGCTAAAAAAAGACCTCATTCACAACTGACAATTTGATGTTTACGTAAACTGCTATTAAGAGGCGTATGGTTGTTCCTCTTCCGATTAACAGTGACAAAAGCTTTTTGTGAAATATAAAACAGGTACAACCCAAGTACCTTATAATTATATAAAGATATATTACCAAAACAATATTTTCTCTTAATTTCACCCTATGATATGAACGCCCCCGTATTTTCCTCTTTATCCAAATATTTCTTCTTCTTCTTCACCTTCTTCTTCTTCTTCTTCTTCTTCTTCTTCTTCTTCTTCTTCTTCTTCTTCTTCTTCTTCTTCTAAGGTTCTACGACCTTCAAATGAACGTCTTGGCATGCTCAACTATCCTTTTAGCATATAGATTTAAATTTGCAAATTAAATTAAGAGAAGGAATATCACTATTAAGAAGGTTACCAATTCTTGCTGGCTCTTTTACTATTAGGTCACTACTATTGCGTCACACACTCTTCAATTATGCTGAAACGCTCACGACCTCTAGAAGCGAAAGTTTTAACTCTCTGGGAAGTTTCCACTCAGTGCTGCTCTCTATAGTCCACAATGTGACTACAATCATATCATTCTTTCCCGGTTACAAATTATAAGAATTTTAATCTCGGTGTAAGAATTCATACACCCGTTAATATAACAAGCGCGTTTTACACAGTTCTTTTTTGTTACTATTTAGAATAAAATAGTTCAAATATTTGCTTTTTAATTATATTTGCAATTAAGTAAGTGATAAAAGTAGGTCGAGGGATGAAAAAATATTAACTTATAAATCATTTTTCATAATCAAACAGTAATTAATATAAATTTTCTACGAACGTGTTGTTTTTTAGTTCTGTAGAGAATGGGTCTTGCTTTAATTTTCCTTATTACAACTTCAGTGTATTAATTGACGTACGAACGACGATTGTAAGGTACAATGGTTTTTCATGGATGACATAGTAAATTGTGACCCTTGAGACAAGTGGATAACGAGTCAGGGACAACAAATACGTTCGTATATCGGAACGCATGCGCCTCAGACATTTTCATTAGGGCAAGATACAAAGACGTTGGCGGTCCGTAGGTGTAGGGTATGGGTCCCCAACAGAAACTTCAATAAAGAAAAGATAACAGATCGAATAAATATATTTGAAAATGTATATTTACATGGTGCTATACTACATTACTATGGAAAATATCTCTCATATATGGTGAATAAAAAACTGAGGAGGTTGAGTTCCTTAGTTGAAAAATAACAAGTCACTTCATCAAGCCAAAACTGTTTCTTTTGTAGTGAAAAAATGGGGGAGAGCAATAAAAAAAATTATATCAGTTGGGGGCATTTGCCCGTTTCAGAGGCACCTATGTATCGTCAGAAAAAAATAACTGAAAAAGCTCTCTTTTAATTGACATTACACCATCATATATCAGAAATAATATTAAGGGCAGTTTTATGTGTCAAATTGAGTTCAACTACTAGTCCCCAACCAGACATTTTAAAAAGATTTCAAGCAGTGTAGTTCACAGTTGATAAAAATATATAAAATTGGTTTTGATGATGAACTGGTCAAATTGGAAATGATGTCAAACATATTTCTAGTTTTCTTACAGGGCAACTATAAAAACCGAGGCCTTAGTTCAGAGAGATCAAAAGAGAATTTTACAGCCCTGTTTGATATTTTTAGGTCGTCTTGTGCCCAAAAAAATTACTGTCAGTGTGCTAGATGTTATATATCACACAAGGTGAACGGCAAAAGCTATTTACTTTATAAACGTTTTCGTGTTCTTGGTCCAATTTTCGGTAATATTCCTACAGCTACACTTGCCCCAACCAAGATTTACAATACTATTTAAAACCTTAATGAATTATGAAAACTTGATAGAGACATTTAAAAGGTGGCATTGTCTAAACTTGTTACACATTTATGGTATTTAAATCCAAGGCAGGTTTATTTTGCTCTTTTGTGACACTTAAGACAAATATTTCAAAAATTGTAACAAAAATCTTGCCTTGTCAGCAAAACTGGTTGACATGACCAGCTAAACATGCTCTTTGAGTTTCAGGAAGAAAACTTACAACATTATACGGTAGTTAAAGACGAAATCACATTGAAAGAAGCTCAATAGTTTTTCGACAAAAAATTCGTATTTCTCTATAACGTCACTAACAATGAAACTTCTTCAAATGTTACAACATTCTTACATTCCTATCCGGACGTATGTTTTGTCGACATAGATTCTTCAATGGGACCGGGAACTGTCAAACGTTTCATGGTCGTAAATGACATGCTGCAACCGGCACAGACGAAACAGGTGGCAAATTAATACATGACTGCATTTCGATAACAACAAAGAATGAAGAAGCAGTATGTTTTACAAGTAGTTGATAAATATCTAAAGTTATTCTCAGACACAATTAATTATATCATCTGAAACCCTCTGGATTATAATGTAGGGGCGGCTCGTGCCAGTCGCATCATATTTGCACTTACACACTCTTTTTCTGGATTTTCATATATCTACTTCTGAATTCGGCAAGTCATGCAGGAGATTTCAAGTACCTGCCAAACATCTGCGCGTGCGAGGTTGCCTAAAAATTAGGGGCAAATGCCACGAGTACGAGTACGAGTACGAGTATAAACACATGAAATTCCTTTTTATGGAATTTCAAACTATATACTCATTGGCAAAAAGTGATGAATTGTCGACTCTTCTACACGCCCTAGAAGTAGGTAATATTTTTTCTGAGACGCCAGTATACTTACGTTTTTATACGAATGTCTCAGAAACATCTACGTCATGAAAAGTCATTACGTTTTGCAAATGAAAAAGGAGTGGAAGAAATTCGTAATGGTAGTAGTAGATTCGAATACACAAGTGTTTGTCAGACATCCGAAATATTCTTGACCTCGTCAAAACATGACCTGCAAATCAGCAGCGCATTACTGCCGTTACCGTTACGTCTTCAAGGTATACAACGTGCATAACGTCATTAAATGGAATGGTATTTGGCCCCTTGTTTGTCTACAGGATATAAAGCTGTTATTTAAATAACTACTTTTTAAATGAAGTGATACTCGTACTTGGCTTATGAATGAAATCTTGACGGGCAGGTAGCCAGGTGCGGATCTATCCGATCCTTTTCAAGGGGGCCATCATAGATTTTTGTTAAATGATAAACATATTTGTTATTATATTGTATATTACTTATATACTGTAGATACGATACTGTACAATAGAATTGTTTAAATAATTTCATTATTCGAACATTTACAAATATATAAATCCATTTTGTTAAATAATGGAAGTAAAACGAAAACGCTTCGTCTTGGGGGGGGGGGGGCTTGGCCCTTATGATCCCCTGGATCCGCCAGTGCAGGTAGCCGATAAGCTCCGAATCCGGCATTTTGACTTGAGACGCCAACAAGATTCTTTCGTATGTGTTGCGTCCATTATTGTTTACCACTAATATTCATGGAAACTTTCAAGTATATTCCCTTAGGATTTAGCCTCAAAATGCACGGCTCCAGCCGTGTTGATTCAACGTTTTGTTTACATTGCACGACCCAATTGTTTTACGTAACCGTGTCTTCCCTGCCGCACGCGTACCGCAAAGTAAGACCTCGTAATAATTAAACAGTGAAGATATACAACTTTCTCTGCATTTTACTGATACGTTGTAACTTGTTCTAAGCCTTCGATACTTCGATTCTAATACTAGTAAGCCTTCGATATAGAACAATGCATAACTTATCTGGATCAAAAGGATCGTGGTTACGAGAAAAATATGAAAACAGTTGAATGATGCTGTATGTTCTCTTATGAGGGAATTTTGAGAGGGTATTATTCAAGGAGAAATATGAAAAGGCAAACCGAGTCAAGTTAACATCTAGTTAATTACAGTAAATAAGTAAATCTGTATCAATCAAATTAGGCAAAAAATTAAATTATGTACGTACCAGCAGCGTTAACTGGTTCTAATGATCTTGGACGACAAAAAGCCATCGGGCATTTTGTAGCCGCTGGATCATTTATATTTGTAATGTTAATGATGCACCCATATAATGCACCCCTTATAAAGTTCTTGGAGCATAGACAAGTATTAATAGAAGAACACAATGGACAAACTTACCACACTTGGGGGGCGTGACGACCCACACGTCATCCTCTCGCACGTCGAACTCCTTGATCTCCTGCACGCTGTCCTCGAAGATCTTCCTCAGCACGCAGCCTCTGCGGCCGAAGCGCGCGCGCGGCACCCGGTCGCCCTCCTCCTGCAGCGACGCGTACTTGTCGATCATCTCCCCGACCAGGGGCGTCACGGCCACAGCCATCGCGGGCGATCCAGCGGCGAGCACTGAAGCCTGGGCGCCCGGTGCTGCTGCAGGCGGTGAGCGGCGCCACGCCGGGGCGCTCAGAAGCCCCGGGCTGCGTCCCACCGACCGCTCGGCCCGCCCGCTCCCCCACCACCGTGCATAACCCCATTCCGCCCCTCCCCCCGGCAACTCCGCGTCACGGCCTGCCACCGCCCCGCCCACGGCCCGCAGGCACTCCCTCCTCACCGCCCGGTTCACTGTTCCCGCGCCACCACATGCCGCTCCGAGCCGCCGCCCGCCCGCCCCGCCCCGCCCGCACCGCCCCGCCCCGCCCCGCGCACGCCCGCCCCGCCCGCCCACCGCCCGCCCGCCCGCAACCGCCCCACGGCCGGCCACACGTGCAGCCCGCCCGCCCCCCGCCCTCCGGTGCGGCCCCCACCGCCACGCGCCTCCGCGCCCTACACCCGCTCCGGCCCCGCGCCGCGCTGCCGCCGGCCGGTCCTCACGCGATGCGTCATGCGTTGTGTAACATCGTCCAGCCACAGCGAGGGAAAGCCGGCGGGGTATCCCGGTTCTCGGTCGTCGCCCCGGTCCCCCTTTCAAGGATCCTCCTGCCAGAGAGGGACCCGACCGCAAGAAGACAGACGCTGATTCGATTCCTTTATTGGTTGCATGCTATCCATTAATTTATTAACTATGTGTAATAACTGAGTCATGAACTGGAAAAAACACCTAATATATATTGAACCTCAACAAAAATTAAGCACAAGGTATTTAAGAAGTTCATTTCGTAGGAATCGATATCTTGTAGAGTTTGAAAAAAGAAATTAGTGTTGTCAATGAATATTGTTTGTTATTAGCGTTACCAGTTTTCGATCGCGTTACGATCACTTTCGAACCAGAAAATTTACAAAAAATGTAATCTACAAATTGCTATAAAATGAACGAACTGCAGGGTACTTGTGATTAACCAAGCCCAGGTTGACTGAGACTCCGGGATAACCTAAGCAGTCGTGGAAAAACAACAAGAAAATAGCCAATTGGGGTTCTAAGTATAGTCCCTGAATTGCACTAGTAGCTAGTCGTCAATAAACTCTCTGCTTCCAGGAAATTGGGTCTTTCCTGAATTCGATAATCATCGGCAAAAATCGTTTGTCATTTCTTGTTTTCACTCCGATTTATCTGTTTTATGATAGCGTTACATGTTTATTTATACTATGTCCTGTAATTTGTATTTTTTACATTTTGATCCTATTTTTATTATTTACTAAACCAGTACCGTATTATCCGAGTATTGGCGTATCCAAAGTGGTATCTGTCGCAATTACCCCATACAAGTAATCTTGTTTAATCATGTACGAGAAATAACGCTAGTATGTTGTAAAAATAAATACAAATTTATGAAGATATAATATGTGCAATGTGAAAGTATGAATAATTAATAATTAAATTATTCTACGATTTCAATGATATCTGCACATATTTTGGTATTGTCATTATGTAACATAGGATATTGTTTTTTTAACACTGGACTTTTTAGTAAAATTAAAACTTATATACATCAAACAATTTTCAAAATGTTTACTGAGTATGAGTGTAAATATTTTACTTCCAAATATTCGTGCAATAATACGAAAAAAATGTAGTGCCTCATTAGCGTTAAAAATTAGTTTTAACGCCTTAGTGCGTCATGTAGAGTATAAAATACTTTATGGTTTACTAGTTCATTACTGTGTATTTATGGACCTTAAACAAAACAGTGACGGTATTGTTAATACCCTTGCGAGCTTTTTAAATTTTTATTCACGCGCGGGCCCATGCGCACATTTTCATGAATTCAATTTATTAAAGTATAGTTACAAGAATATACTATGAATAAATGGCGTAATGTTGAAATGAAATAACTCGTTGATAATGTTTCGAATTGTCCTTTGATTCAGCAACGAACTTGTAAACCATACGTTTTGTAAATAGCATGGGTGTTACTATGTTTTTGCCCCTCACGCGACTTCCATCACCTCGGGCCCGAGGCCTTTGAAGTCGCTCTTCTTTTAGAAGTATCATCTTAACGTCGTAGATACATTTGAATCTATTGAAAATGTGACCTACAGTTGGATGACTTGTGATCTGCCAATGGTACAACAGCGGCAAAAACAGGTAGTCTGACATCGAAAACTGAACGAAATGAACGGGGGAATACAGTTACAAAAATAAAATAGCTTTACTTTCTCAATCAATATTAAAATTATTTGTTCATGAAAAATTTGAATACATGATTTATGAAACTAATGTGACAAAACAAATGTAAAATGTAATCCTGCAAAACTGCACACCGTCACATCATGTTTTTCACGAATATCCAATTCGAATAAGTGAAGTTTTCACATTCAATCTCGATTTATTTGACTTGGAAACGGTAAAGTGAAAATAAAATAATATTGCTATTGAAAGACAAATGTGCAAAGGTATGATACTCAATAGCAAATATTTCGTGTTTCCCGATGAATGAGAACATTATTTAGTGTAGAAAAATAATTATAAGGAATGAAAACATTTCCAACTCAGTAACATGACTGAAAACAAGAGACTGTTTCATTAATCATTTTTTATTAATGATTTTTTGTAAATGTGGTAAATTATGATATCAGCTTATGGTTATAATATTTGATTGACGATAATGAATCACTACTACAAACAGGATAGAAAATATGTTTTTTAACTTTCTGATCTCATTCTTTCATTCATTCATTTCTAGGCAGAACAATTTGTAACATTTTGTTTCAGAAACCAATTTTTAAACACAACTCTGCGTGGAAGGAATCAGAGTGTCCATGGGGAGCCTCCAACAGCTTCGTTGAACGTTTTCCGCGTGCGCTCGTCATATCGCGCTGCCATTTCCGGCGACATCTCGCGGCGGCCTTCCCCAACTACGCCCTTGCGGATGAACGCCTCGTCATCGCCTCGCGTGTGTTTGTCTGAAGGCACGATGAGGTCCTCCCCGTTCACCGCCGGGTTCTTCTTCATCTGCTTGAAGTCCAAGTGCTCCGTCAGGGCATCCACCTGCGCTTCGGTGAGACTTTTGCCCAAGAATTTGGCCGTGCGCCGGATGACGGTGGGGAGGTCCTGCGTAAACGGGCGAGTTAGTACTTAGCGGGAGGGAAATTGTTAATATTTTTAGAATCCTTTGTTGTCTTACCTTCTTCATTTCTTCGTATGTATTGAAGAGGACTTTTGACGCATCTCTCATTTTCCAGAAGTCCAGTACATGTTCCCAAAACGGACAATACCCGACTGAAACGAATGTCAATACTATTATTGTATCTTGGCAGAGACATAAATTTTACGAACAAGAAATATCTTGCTACTAAGCATCAATAAATATGTGGAAGTATTTGATATTCAAATGTTCATGAGATTTGTAACGTTTGTAGAGTTTGTATAGTTGTTAAGTTCTGTAATGTTAAGTTAGTGTATTCTGCCACCAAGTTCTCACACTTAATTGCAGAATTATTAATTAATCTAATCTAATCTAATTACACTATGCAAAGGCACACCCATAGGGGGACGGGAGTTCATAGAACTTCAGCCTGCTCAGAAGCCAGTTATTCATAAACGCACTTTTTATTACTTTTCTATACTAATGACAGTCATTCTTATCAATTGAATACATTACATATAATTACTATCCAGCAATTCAAAATAAATTTTAAATTAAGAATGAATTATTTTTTATAAGAAAACAACAACTCGCCTTAATCATCGACCTACTCTAGACCTACCCTAGTTTCTCTTATGAAAATCCCGGATATTTAAATATTTTTTTATGAAAAATAGAATAAATGTTTCATTGCAATATTTTTCAGAAAAAATGTCTAGCTGAACAATGTTTCTTATTTGAGGTGCTATATTATTCCGCAAGTAATATACGATCATAATTCTAGAAATAAAAATTAATGAAGTTCTGGCCAAAAAGTATTTATTTGTGAAATTCTCACCAACAAGAATTTATTTCTATTTAACAAAAGTTTTTTGAAAACAATTATCAGAGACATTTCAAGTAAAGACAAAATTGGATTGCTTTTCATTGCCATTATGATTGATTAGTAATAACAACTATCTTTTCTTCTAAGTCATCTTCGCTCTTTAGCTAAGATGCTTATTATGATTTTTTTTAAATTCACTAATATCCTGATTGTGTAATTAATTGATAAGCATAGAAATATGTTTAATAGTTTGTGAATTATAAGTCTCATATTTTGCATAAACGCCTAGCGAATTCAATATGTGAAATGAAACACTATCGAGCTTTATTAATATTATGGACTGTAAACAGTTTGTAAAAAACAAATAAACCGACAAAATGCACCAAGCGTCATTTGCTTTATCCTTGGAATTATGGATATTATTAGTTTTGTTTATATTTATATTGTTAGTTTGTATTTTTTAATTATTATCACTTACAAAAATATTTCGGAAAGGATATGATAGTTTTGTACCGTTTAGGTTTCATTAACAAAAGCCCGTGTGTTACTACTGTATAGGAAATTATCTCCCCAATTTGCATAACTCAGATTTAAGTTGGTAAAACGAAAGTTGAGGTCAGATAATGATATAAGGAGAACATAGGCCATCAACACACGTTACACTGCACCACTAGTTTCTAAGGTCCGTGACTTGGAAATGATGCGACCTTGGTATATAAAACCAGGTTTGAATGCCCTTGAATAAACGTTGTATTGCACATGTTATAATAAACTTAATGATACCTTTTAAATGTGCTATTACATTTAGAGAATCCCCCCCCCCTCCGTAGCGTTGTCATAAATGCTCAAAGTTAGATTCCTCAAAGGAGCAATTTTTCACTTTTGAAACAGTCATATAAAAAGTGTGGTAGTTTGGCGACTACATTTTTTTCGCAAATGAGATACTTTAAGTATTTTATTACTGTTTAGGGGGCACAAAAATTTTGAAAAAATAATATTGTATTAGCTAGCAAAGCAGTAAATATCGAGCAAGACTAGATATCAGCAAACAATTAATTTTTTACTTTCCGATATATCAACCCAATTTATAAAGCTTTGTGAAGGCAAAATACAAGCT